TGCTACACATGTTGTTTGACGTTATTTTGACACCCATTTTACCTCAACTTGTAACTTGCTTTATACTATTATATGTTTAAAATGCGGCATGTTTTTGAAAACATAGAACTGACACTTCAAAAAAACATGAATAACATGTTATTTGGGGTTTCGTAGATGCCTTACTTTTGAGAACTTGAGACTTCAAAATGTAAATTTTAAAAAACTGTTTGAGACCTATAACATACTTATTGAGGTGTAACACACATAATATAACCAATTACTTTAGAACTGATTTAATGATGAGTACAAGATACGACTGGGTAAATAAAACTACAGCAATAGTATTGTGGAACATTTTGAGGGAACCCCAAATCGCTAGAATATTTGTCAGCGTTTCTGCTTTGGGGTAATTGAATTAGTGAAACTCTTGATCGATCTACAAGAGACGGGTTGGGGCTTAGTTGATTGCTGTTCTGAAAACTGTAATAGCAATTTGATGATTCTAGTCTCCCGGGACTTGTCACAGGGATTTCTGCTTTCGGTGCTCTGAATACTTTAATTAATATTCCCTCCTAAAATCATCTCACGGATGAAAAATAATACATTTATGCTTCTTGTCCTATTGCAGGAACCCGCTTTTGATTTATTATATTCCTTAAGTGATGAGCATTTTGTATTCTTGCATATTAATATCAGCATAATATAAGTTTATAAATTCTTTTATTTCATCCTCACCTTCTATAGTATTGTTCATTTAGGGTTTGGGACAATATAAAACTGAGATTAAGATTATTATAGCATTATCAACTTTGCATCTAGCACTTCGCATTTACATATATGTCAATGAACACGCATCTTTATTACTCAGTTATTCCCGCTGTAGATTACATTCCTATATCAAGAAAGTATGGTAACGTACGTTACTAGGAAGTTTGAGAAACAAATTACAAGACAAGTTGAAAATTTATTTCTTCAATCCTAAACTAAACGTTGAGCAATATGCAAAATGATTACACAATAAAGAAAACGGTAGCTGATTCTTTCTTCCACAGTTGTTAAAAACAGCAACAATTTGGTGAAATTAACTTTCCAAAATTATAACATGGTTAGATAAAATATGAAATTAAAAAGTTGATGATTATGACCGGAGGCTAGATTAACAGATTAATGATAATCCCCTGGGTATCCCGAGATTAATTCTGTCTCTGCGTCAATGTAGGCTAATCGTCGTAAAACTTTTCTCATTCTTGATGTTCGCACTTGAGCCTTCCTCGAATCACAACCTTTTCTTCAACTCCATGCGCATGTTTGAATTTTTGTTATTTGAAACGTTTACACATTTTGGGAAATACTACATTTTCAATTTCCTCTTATATCTTCATCTGTTATTATACTATAGTTGAGTAAAATAGTTTTCAAATTACCATTTTATGTTGGAACGCTGTAAAATCAAATCTCCCAAACTGTAATTTAATGCCCTTTTATGAAATATAAAAGCTATGGCAATACATTCACGAAGAATGCATAAATGTCGTCTTTAACAACCAGAATGTCACATTCACAAGAATACGAAACCCCGGGTACGAAACTTTAGAAAGCTATAGAGCCACAATGAGGGATGCATCAGACCATGGGCTTTCAACTAAATTGAAAGCCCATGATCAGACTGAAGAAACGGTGGTGTTGCATTCTTAACCATACATAACCCACTGCTATAGTTATGTTATAGTTACCAAGTCCCTAAAGATTCAAATAATTAGGAAATAGAAAGATAAGGGTTCTTGCAAAGCAATGGGAAGAAAGGGCATGCTGATTACACAGATGTGAAGTGTCGACGCAAAGATTCAAGTCATTGCCAAGAATACCACTAATTTGTCGAGTAGCGCCGAATAGTCCTCATAACATTTGCTTCATTTATACACCCCGAGAAAATGTTGTCGCAAAACACTTAGGATCTACAACTGAATATTTCTTAATAGTTTTAGTGGACAATTATGATTGAGATATATTTAATAAAGTTATTTTTGACCCTGGTGTAGCGCATCATAGTATTGGGCATTCAAAGTAGATTGATTTCCTTTTTAAAGTTCAGTTTGTATTGTTCTGTTTGAATAAGTTTAATTGATAATGACACTCGGCGATTAATTACAAGGTCACATTCCAGAAATGGCCTAGATTCGGTTTGATTTGACAATAATAAATATTTTTTGCATTTGTCATGTTGTAAATATTTTATATTTTTGTAGTTTGTAGTTAGTTTAATCTAGTTGAAGTTATATTTATTTTTTGTATATTGTACATTGCACTGACTATTATATCATTGTGATGACATCAAAGAGTCAATAAAAGATATGTATCATATCACTTTTACTGTGTTGTAATGGTTTTGTTTAATGTCTTCCATTTTAGCTGCTGACGTCAATTGGAGCGAGGAACACCGTTGACAAATCATCCCACATTTATAAAATTACCAAAACAGACAACAACCAAGGTTGAACACAGCCTAGTTTGGAAAATAAATCAGCCGGGGGTTTCAAATCCCTATCTCCTACATCATTAGTCATTTTTGGTCGATTCATAAAAAATTCATTGGGCAAATGAGAGAAAAATGATAGCTTTAAATCACCGAGCCGCTAATTTAATTACGCGTCTGACGCATTAACTCCGCCATGGCTGCGCTTTCTCCAGCACAACAACATTCTAGTCATTTGCGGCTTCAATATATTCTAAACTTGCAAGACTAAAAATAAACGAATCTGTATGTAGCAAAAAACTACAAAGACAAAGAATACACGTATATTAAAATATATAGATGTTAACGATTTATTGGTCTTTGCAATGGGTATAGAATTTGGTCAGAACACGTTATAGTTAGGGACTGTTTTTAGGATGATGTAAATAAAAGTACAACTAGAGATGTAAAACATCATAAAAATGTGCCCTCTTGAAAATAAAAATTAATGTAATGTTCGTTCGTATCTTTATGATAGTTTACTCAATAAATTAAATCTCTGATTAAAAGCGCTTGTTTTAAGCCAAACTTGTCATACAAAGTGTCGAACATTCCACCAACACCACGTGGCAAAATGTCTTTAATTTCTAATCATTCAATCCAATTTAGTGAACACTTTAAATTACTGTTTTCACAATTTGATTGATTACATCAAAAATTGAACTGCTGCTAAGGGTGTAAGGTTACGTGTAGCGTAAGCAAAAATCATAAAAAGAAACATTGCAAAATTTAAATTTGAAATAAATAATAAAATGAATTCAAACGTTGATTGACAAATCTGTACATAGGGACCATTTGATATGTACACACATATATCCTTTATACATAATTTCCAGTGACAATACAGCAAATGTTAGTATATAATGTACATCAAAATAAGCAAAACACAAAGAAATCTAAATATAAACATAAACACAGCGCATGCGTAGGTTCCGAAATTTTCATCAATTTTTGGCTTTTCATGTAGATTGCAAAAATACAAAATCCAGTGGTCGATAAGTTGTAGGCATGTAAGACATTAATGCAGGTTTGGCCATACATAGTTGGCCAGGTGCACATTCGGTGTTCGAAGATATGACATTGGCGTCAAATGTTGAATGTTGAGCATCAGAATATTTGAATTTTTGCACGAAATAGAAGCGCTGGGTTTGCTCGAAGCTCTCATCGGGGAAAGCAAGGGGTATAAAAAAACATTTTCAGTTTTTTCAGTGCCTAGTAGAGAGACATCAGCAGATATTTCTGCATCAAACTGATAAAAATGTATTATTTATGGTCACTTTAAAAAGTATTTCGGATTAGGCAAACGCAGCTCATTCTATCAGATTACGGACATGTCCAGAATCTTTGAAGCTAAGGTCCACTTTATTCAGATGACTAGACTAGAATTACTGCCGCGGTAATTTGACTAGTTGATAGTTGCTGTTATCCACGTTGTAAATCTATTTTCACAGTTAGCGGTATAGTTCACTTTTATTATTCCATTAAAGGCCATTATCTTTTTATAATTGGTACAATAATGTTACCCCTTTAAATATTGAACACTCGGGGGACATCAGTTTCTACTCAAAACAGCAAAGTATTGAGCAACGTATTCCTTGCTTCCTACAGCAAAATGATTTTGTAAATACATATTTAACAATTAGGTAAAAAAAATAATAGAGAGGTTTGGGATTTTTAGAAATATGTATGGATGTAATGATATGAGACAAAACAATAGAGCGTAACAGGTTTTGGGAAAGCTGCTCTCTAGGTTTGATTTCATTAGTTAGTAAAGCAAGCCTAATACATTCCTTATTTCACTTATTTCTTTCCTTCTTTACAATACGACCAGAATGACCCTTTGCTAGAAATCAATGGTGCTGAAGATGATGAACGAGTCGACCAACCAATGAGGTGGCAATTTTAACCCCGGGATATTAATGAGCAGACGACTACCCAATTGATATATTCCGTTGTTACTCGATTGGTTCTCCCCTTATGTTCATATAATATAACGCGAAATCATGCTTTAATTTTTCAATTTTTGAAATAAGGTTAAAAAGCCAAATAAGCAAAAGGATACATAAAAGGATTAACCTCATATACCATATCGAGTACTTAACAAAATAAGCCATTCCGTGAGAAAGAATAATGATATGCACAGTATGGTTATTGTATACGCGCACGAGTCGCTCAGCCACTCCATTTGTTTTGGCATGATAAAGTGCATTTCCGGGCTTGTTCCGTTCATAAAACAAAGGAACATTCAACCTTGATATTCTGCATATCATTTCATTTGATCTCATACTTCATTCATTTGGCATTCCCTTATTCTACGACTCTGCATTATGTAAAAGGGGCGGGATTAGTAGTTTCTAGATCTCCACCATATGCAATAACAGAGAACATCTGATTATCTCGGGGATTAAGAAACCGTCCAATCTGCCTCTTGCTGAGCCCGACTATTTAATTAAAGTATAAATTCATTTCGGAAAATATTGAAATGTTTCATTTGGCGAATGTTAACAGAAGGTAAACTAAAACTGCTCTGTGTGAATTAACAATTAACTAATTATTCCGTAGAGTATCTTGTCATCAAGACGATAGTCCGGCATTCTATTAATTCTCTTACGAACTGTGCTCACAGTTGACATCGGAATTCCAAGGTATATTAAGAAATACTCAGGTTTTTCTTACCAGAACGGAAAACGAAAGAGACGAGTAAATATGATGGACTATTCTTACCTGAATCAAGGCGGGTTCGATCCCACGAACTGTGGTATCCCCGGAATGGACGGGATGGCCCCGAACTGTAGCCTCCCGTGTACGTACAGCGACATGGGCCCAGCCTGCGGAGTAGGAGTCGGTGGGCAGATGGCGCAGACTTACCGCTACAACAGCGCCGTACGTAGCTTCGCCGGTGGGCCCGGGTTGAGTTCGGCGGCAGCGTCGTGTAGTATGATGCCCCGGCCCAGAGAGCACCCACAACCGTCTTGTTTCTCATCTGGTAAGTCACTGTGTCTCCTTACACCACTAACTCAACAAATTGCACAACTAGGGAAGAAAATAAGATTTGGGCATACGAAATTGGTGAAAATTGAACAAAATTGTTTTACCATGGCCTAACTTTGTTAATGTTGAGGACTAAGTGGTGATTATTGCCGTACAATCTGATTACCTCACTTGGAATTACACAGTTTACATAATTCTCACTCAAACTATGCCAAACTATACACTATTCTATTTGGATAATATTTCACAATGTAATAAGGAACGAAATTAGAGGAAATAAGATCTGAAGTCTACCGATCCTAATTTTATTTTGTCTGCTTTCTGAAGTCATTTTGTTAACTTCTTCAAAGACCTCATCCCATCCTCCATTGACCAATTCAATTACTTAGTTCAATTTTTGATCTTAATTTGGTTTTATTTATTTATTTTTCTTATTTATTAAAATGTTTACATTAATTAGGATTAACGAGACAAAAATGTTTGTATTTGTTACTTTATTTTATGAATGGCGACATGATTATGAAATTTGCGATTATTTTGTTATGATCAACGTTTCAAAAAAATTATTGTCGATGCCATTTCAAATAAAATTTACTAGTAGGATTAAATTCCACCGATGGTGGAATATTCAATGTTTTAATTTTTACAGAAATCCACGTTATTAATGATACCATATTTGAAGATTTATTTTTACACGGTCATTACTTTATAATTGATAATAATTCTATTGATATTAATTAGATAAAATAAAGTAAAAGATAAAAAAAAAGTGTTATTAATGATAAAATAAAAAATAGGAAACCTAAATCATAGATGTTTTTTAATCTGATCAATTAAAAATGAAATAAGGGAAATTATTTAGTTATCAATCCATGATCTACCTATAGCAGCTCAAGAAACTGCACCAAACGCCTCATCGAATGAATTAATGAATGTACAATAAACAGCCCAAAATAAAGAAAGTACTTTTTCGCATTTGATTAATTATATTTAATATTAAAAATTCTATTCCATGTATTTCATCAATTCTAAGTGAACTATTCATTTGTTAATTACGGATAAAGCTCGTCCGTGGATGCCGGGTATAGAAAAATATAGAACAATTAAAATAAAACCATTTGATAAAATAACAACAAAATCCCAATCCTCACTAAACGAATTCATCTCTATCATTATTATCCTACCAAAAAACAATTTTTATCCCTTGAAGCATCATAGTTCAAAAGGCGAAGTAATGCAATCCGTAAAATTAAATGTTCTTGAAATAGAAAGCAAATAGAACAAAAATTAGTAAAATTGCATTTTTTCTAAAGCAAAAAATATGAACCATGCGAGGTACATATATTCTCATGTTCGATAAAACAAAACCTTTTTGATAGCAAATAGAAAAAAATCCATTAAGGCCATATAATTTTAAGAAACATACGCTTGATAGAGCTAGGGAATAAAACACAGCATCGGCATTTATAATCGTGCATGAACATATTGCGCGTTACAATGTTGCGCAACGTGCATTTAGGAGATAAAAATCTGACGCAATTGTAGCTTTTATCTCAATCCGATCTCCCCCGATCCGGCCTGAAACAGATGGTAAACCAGGACAAACTCTGCGCGCTTAGAGTTAACATAAATGTTGAGTTTAGCACCATTTTCTTAACATATCCCGAGGGAGTCAGAGGCCATATCAAAATACAGAATTTTAATTTGTTTAAGTGGATTCAGCTTGTAGTATTTTCACAAGTGTTTGCTCTGATGGCTTTTTGTGAATCTTAGTCAAATGAACAGCAATGGAAATACAATGAGTGAAATCTGCGCCTATTTAGGCCTGATGAGTTGAACATCCGAGATGATTATTTCAGTGCTTTTTAATTAAGGTTAAACCCAGTGTTTAATCAGTAATAATAATTCGTGGTTTCACTATCATCAATATATTTAACTTAATGAAATGTCTGTTGTTTTATTGGTGAAATATGTCGAGTTTTTAATGCTTTTCAAACGCAATTATTCTGTTACGTTTAACATTGACAGACAGTGAAAAAAGAAATGCAAATCATTGTGACAAAATTTAGATTTCAACTTAAATTAGTCAGGGGCTAAATCGGCTCTTCATCGGATATCTTTCAAAATATTTTTCAATATTCGATGTTTGAATTTTACGAAATATTATCTCCATCAGATTACTGGTTTAGTGGAATACAAGATTAACACTAATCTAAAAATCTAAATCTGGCCCTTAACTTTACATGATTATTATGGGACATTTAAAGCCTTATTGACCAAACCCCTATCTACAATTAATCATAACCATAAGTTGTGGTTTGATCAGAATCATTTTAGCCCATGTGTTCCAATATTTTGCAAATTAAGATTTTTATCAACATGCGCAAATAATCACCTAAATTTAAATCTTATAATCACATCTAGACGCAAGACAAGAATTATAACTGCCCACACTTTTTGAATTTAGTGTCAACTGTGGTTATCATTGTTTATTTGCAAGAAATGCATTGGAGTCAGATTGCAAATAACAGAGCAATGGGTGCAAGTTAATGTATTAAAGATAAACAAAAGTAGACATATAATTAACTCAATATCATATTACAATCCAATCTTTTGTTATAAATTGGTTTTGGAAAATAGTTTATTCTTCTGTCCTGGACATTGTGACCGACATAAATACATTACTAGTTAGGGTACAATGTGCATTTCTGAGGCAGGAAAATACGTACGTGTTTGATTCTCTCTGTAAAGGTATGCACTGCATATGTCATATTATGCCAATCATGTTGTTAACAAGCATGTACAAACACTAAAACGTGTGTTTGGTGTGATAACACGTGTTTGGAATTAAAAAGAATACTAATGCACGCACGATAACAATCGGATTTCCATACACGTGCCTTTTCTTCCTGAACAACAAATTAATTATTAATTATTTTTGACATTCTGATAATCCGATTCTAATAGAGTAAAATAATGTTGAGTTGATTTGAGTTGATTTGTAAAAAAATTTTAAAACGAAATGTACAGAAAAGAAAAAGATAACTTCAGACTACTATTAATGGAAGTGTTAGTTGTTTTTCTTTGCTCTGATTCGGTGTGTTCTCCGACTACATGCTGGTATAGATATAGTTTGATAAATAAAATGGATTGCAAACTTTGATCGGGTTTACAATTTAGTATTTTTTTGCAAAATTCTTTTATATAATTATACTCTCAGAAAACATTATTCAGAATAATTATTACGTCAAGTGAATCTAGTCTTGGAAAAAGAATTCATGATTTATTTATTTCGTAAAGAGCGAATGACATTTGTAGTAGTGTGAAATTGCAATTATTCGCTCATCATCCCGAAAAAATAAATCCTTTGAAAACTAGCAAAAATAAATTACAATTCTATTATATTTCCAAATTAATATTAATATTAGTGTGGTATTTTTAAATTCCGAATAATATTTTATAAGACCTAGAAGCCTATGATTTATCATTTTTGAGTATCCCAGAAAAACTTTCGTTTTCCTTGAAGAGTCTGGTACATTTAACTATTTCAAAAAACAGAAACATGATTATTTGTCTTGCAGGACTCCCTTACAAGATGTATCAACACGCACATGACAGCAACGTCAGTCCTGAGAAGCGTAAACAAAGGAGAATTCGGACTACTTTTACAAGCGCGCAGTTAAAGGAGTTAGAAAGAGCATTCGCAGAAACACACTACCCAGATATTTATACGCGTGAAGAAATCGCAATGAAGATAGATTTGACAGAAGCTCGGGTGCAAGTAAGCGACTTACATATTTTAAGTACTATATATTTGTTTTTGTGCATGTGGCATCAGTCAGCCGTAATTTATAGCCCCGGGTTTATAGCACTAAGAAGATGTAACGAAATTTTAACATGGCGATCATTTTCAGCTAGCTAGTGTTCTGGCAAATTATTTAAAGCATTATATAGGCTGGGGTGAATATATGTTCAGATGAAGTGTTTTCTTTTAATTGCATTTGATTGCTGGATGTTTATATGACTTATAAATATTATTCATTATTCGTTTAGTTTATTTTGGTATAAAATTAATTGTAGGTTTGGTTTCAAAATCGCCGCGCTAAATTCAGGAAAGTTGAACGTGCAAAGAACCAACCAAGTGGCGCTCAGACATCCGGGTCTTCACAACAAAATCAGACGACTTCCAGTTCAAAATCCACTGATACAAATTCTCCCAATTCTACAAAAGAGAAACCCAAACCAACAACTGAAACAGGTAAAGATAGTTTTGTCTCCTCAGGTGTCACCTTCCTATATATTGAATCAGAGACATATAAAACACAATATGATAAACGGTTAACTGTTTAGGCCATTGACTCTGACGATGATTTACCCAGGCGGGAACACGGTTATGATAAGTTATCCTTAACTCGAAAACACACTGGAGTGAACGCTATTGTTGTCTTTCTTCTTTACTTAATCTAAATTGATTCCCCTAGGGTAGGACAAATAATCTCAAAGGGGGCCATAATTGGACAGTACAATATCAATGTTCACATCGCTTTGTGTGCGACGTTATGGACTAGGCTTAATAGTGACTTCTAAAAAGGTTCAATTCCACATTTCCATAGAAAATTAATTATTTTACTTTTTTTTTCAGTGAAACCAATCCCGGACACCAGCCAGCCGAAATGGGGAACACAAAATTGTGGAGGCCAAAACAAAGGAGGTACTTTACCCAACCCACCACTACCCGGTCCATATTCATCGATTCTCACACCCGCTAGTACAGATTATGGTCAGCCTGATAACAATAACGAACATAAGGCAATACCTACATCCATGTTTTGATTCAATGCACAATAGCCAGTGAATAAACATTAATATCACAACATTTGTATCGTGTGATTTTGAGATGCAAGACTATCACTTGTCCTATCGTACCAGAAATTATTGTGAATTTATAGGCTGCAATATATATTTTATATATTGATACGAGTATTTTACTTATGAGTTGAATGGAAATAAGTAGCTATTTGTTCAAAATGGAATTAGCTCTCAGGGGATGTGTAACATTGTCTCTGAATATAAAGCCTATTCGAATTTAATCTTACAAGAGCCTACAAGTATGTTTTACGTGCCATTAACACCAAACAGGAATTTTAAACGTCATTTTGTCATTTACAAGAGGTTTTGCCCAGATTTCCCCAATGATCAAGGATTTAGCATTCTGATTTGTTCAAGTCCGCACTGTTTTGTATGTTTTATATGCGGACATGAAACACCCAATATTAATTATATGAAACTGAACTTTTGCCGTCAGTGTCCAAGATGCGCTATGGCCATATGATTGCAGACTATTATGAATCGAAGCTTGAATTCGCGAATGCAAATAGCGGCTGACAGCTAACGGATTACCTGCTTTTTCTGGCCAAGTCATTGAAATATGTGAAGTAAATGCCACTATTCCATTCATATTTAAATGAGATGGTCATCAAATAATAGTTTAATCTGATAGTCGACAGCCGGTTTTGCATTCGCGAATACAAGCTAAGCTTGGTAACGTATTTAAATGTATGCATATTCTGTCGAATTACACTAGTCATATCTTGTTAAATCAACCGAAATCGAAGAAAAACACTCATGATATCTATTGGTTGGAGTTTGCTAAATAACATGAACGATTTCGGAGCCCAGTTTTTTATTTCATTGTAGCATATAAAGAATTGTGCGCAATGATGGTAGTAGTGCAATAGCAACCAAGTTTATTTGTAGCTAGTCAGTGTATTGATCATCATCATAATATTATTTGTACATAAACTCTTATTTATTATTTATTTATTATGATTTCAAACATATGTGTATCAGTAAAAGACAAAAAATCATATCATATATTGTATATAATTAGTATTATAAATACATTGTACTGTTGTACATTATTTAATATAATTGTCGTCGTTATGTTGTTTTATGATAAATCCTAATATCATATGGTTAATCCGAATAGTCAAGGAAGCAGAAGGGACAGATACCGACATGATGATAGTCTTGGCTCAAGACTGCGAACCCTGCCCCCCCCCCCCGTGTGCTTCACATTTCCAACACAAAGGTGAAGTACACAGGGGGTACACAGTCTCGAGGCAAGATTAACTTGATGAGAATATACGTTTAGAAAGATTAGACCAGTGCACCTATTGGCCTATAGTGCCAATCTTACAGTGCCACCTATTGTCAATATTACAGTTTCAACACAAAAATATGATTAACTAAACTTATTGCTATTTTTCAAAAACTTTCAATTATTTGTTTAAAACATCACTGTCGGAAAATAGTTTGACATTGCAAATCTAAAAATAAATCATCTATAGGGGCCAGGATTTACTAGAAAGGGCCATTTTCACATTTAACGAATTTCAATATTTTTTTCTCTCAGTTCTAACTTTTATTCAAGTTAACTTTCGATTTTTATGTTTAAAGTAACGTGATAGAGATATTGAAAGAAATATTATGATGAAAGTCACCCTTGATCAACTCTTATTAATTTAGACATTTCACCAACTAAACTCTTCTTCCCATATCTCTAGGAAAAACATAGGCTTGCCTTTTGAAAAGATTGTTTCCAATATTACAATTTGTAGTTTTTGTTCATTTAATCTTATTTCTCTGGTTAGATAGAAAATAATATCTAGGTCAACGGAAAACAGATGTAACAGTCTGTTAGTGATGGTCATCGCGAAAGTCAATATAAATTATATAAAATCAATGAGATCGAATATTTATGTTGAGTAATTGATGGATTGACCATGTAGACCATACGATTTCTATAAGATTCGTTTGTGTTGGGCTAAGAAGAAATATTGCGTTTTTGCACACGAATCAATGTGAGAGGAGGTAAAGCCCAAATTAATTTGACATCTGTTATCTATACGAATCCTCATTTACAATCACATATCATAACATTTTTCATCTTCGCACGCTCGGTGTTCACTGCGTTCATCCAACGGGACCAACAGGATTTTTCTGATGGGAAATATTCTGTAAAATATAGATGTCACACATCGCCACACCATAAGTTTTAATATGCAGCTTGTCTTGCAGATGTCACGGAGAGTAGTAAGGCTAACAAATTATAGATGTCACACATTATACTAATTTGGAGTTTTACAAATGTCCGAGAGAGTAGTATGGTTTGCAAAATATAGATGTCACATATGGTAGAGGGTAGAGAGTGCAAAATGTTGAATGCATTATTTTCATAAATCATTCCGATCAAATGATGTCCTTATTATCTTAATTTTATTTTATGATCAGATATATAGATCGGTATTTAGGATGTAAGATGCAAAAAATCTCCTAAAATAAAGTAGGAATTGCTAGATGTTTTAGGATAAACATGGCATGGAATATGAGAGAAAAGAAAAATATTGCAAAATGTTGACCTATTTTTGAAACGTACATCTCACGATCATCTGTACCTCTCGTAGATCTTAAAACAATAAGTTAGGTAAGTAATTAGTGACGTAAGAGAATCTCAATCACGCAAATTAACCATCGGTATGGAACAAGATGTCTGTCTTTGACATACCTGGTTTTAAGTAATATTTCTTCGCTACACATTATACACCAGCTGCGATTCTGCTCCGAACACGCAATGAGCCCTTTTTTAACATCGCCGATTGTCGTCATAATTCCATGACTTCTCTGTTATCTGTGATCTGGCCCAAGGGATTTTCTTTTATATATTCAAGAACTTTTACTGTTTTACCTTAATTCAGACTAATTGCAATTATTTCTTTTAGGATTACGCTAATTTACTTTCGCTTTTTCATTTTCATAGTGAATATTTTCACGGGAAAGATGGGCGGGACACACAGTAGAAAGCTCTAAATAGTCACATACAACTCCAAAACAATTTTAAACTGATCTTAATGGATTGTATTTAAAAAGTGTCAAGTGTAATTAAAACTATTTTTTAAATTGATAAGTCGTTAACTGGTAAAAGTTACACCTGGTGTGAATGAATTGGTAAACGGTTTTTTATTAGAATTATATGTTTCTTTATTTCCGACTAATTTCGGATTTAACTAAAATGATTACATCCTCGTACAGCGAATAAACACATCTTTAATGAAATGAAAGTCAGTGACATAGATTGATTCGAAAACACAGAATAAAACTCTATGCTAGTGAGTGATTGAAGAAGTCAGTCGACCTCTGTGAGAATCAAACAAACAACCTTAGACAATGTAATGATACTTTCCTGAAAAAAGCAAGGAAATATACACATGCCTTCATACTTAATTTTGTACCAGAAATTAAATGTGCAGGTATAGCAATTTTTTACCAAAATGTTACTTTACACCTGAACCTTAAACCTTCATTTTGGACTCGCGCAGAGTTTAGTTATAAACGAAGCTCTCTTTTGAGAAGCGAAGTCGAACGAATGCAAAGTGTATTTTGGACTTGAAAGGTCAGGTTGGAACCATGATGAAAAAAACAGAAACCATGTAACTCACGACGGGGAAACCTTTGGAAAGTCCATGATGTAACAGGACAAGTGGTACAAATATATATGGTTTCGTCATCCTTCACGTATTTCAAGTACCGTAATTCCTGGTTCATACCACATTCTCAACCGCTAATGATATATTTTATAAGGACTGTTAGTGTATTATTCTTAAATTTAAAAGTCTATAAGCAGCTCCTTGGGCCAATTATGAGGCACTATGCTTAGTAAAAGCCATAGATTTGAGCTTAATGAATATCATTTATTAAAGAAAAAATGAGCTTCGTCCCCTCGGGCTATGTAGTCTTGTTGAGTACAACGACAGGTTTATTATGTGGTCTAATCATAAAATGTCTCATTGACTATGTTTAAATCACCCAATTTGCTTAAGAAACGCGATTGAATATTCATTTTCTTGCACTATATAAATTAGAGTGTATCCTATTATGTCTATTAACTTCACGATTTGCTAAATCTAATTATCAAACTGCTTAATTTTAATTTTGAAACAATGCCCTCGTGACATTATATACAAAAGAAAGGCAATAATTTGTTATCTCCTTGGAGATGTGACACCCAAATCATGTCAACACATTTATTTGCTATAACGGTGTCATAAAATAAAACCTCCCTTTTCACACTGAATCAAGATATATCCAAAACTGAAAAACACGATGATGTTATGTTAATATAGTATTGGAACCAACAACAAGGAAGACCAAGAAAAAATTGTGTTTGATAAAGTTATGTATTTTCATGTAAATATTCTAAGGAAAACAACCTTCAGAGGTTTTAAGGAAAATGACTTAAATGTGGAGATTCAAAAAAACAAACAAAAAAATCGGCACGGGCATCGGCATAATCAACTTTTCAATAAAATTGCCAATTTTTTCAAAATTTCCAAGAGAGATAAGGGTCGTGTTTTCCTGGATGAAAGCAGGGTAGCTTCTTGCCCACTCTTAGCCGCGGTTACGCCATTTCTATTTATCTGCTGAACAGGTCCAGGTACTAGTATACCAACATTCCAATGCAGATCAACGTGTATCTGTGATCTGCTTAAGATATTTGTAATACATATATCCAAAGTAAGATGCTTAAATCTATATACAGGTTTCGTCGTATGACAGTTCACAAACGGTGACAATCCTGTTGATCGCATATTATCTCTTCTACACGTTGCATCAATCCCCTCCACCCATTCATATCAGGCCCGTAGCCAGGGGGTTCGATGGAACCCCCCCCCCTGGCCAAAAATTCATTCAAAATCATGCTGTTTTTCAACATTCTGAGCACTTTTTAAGTGATTTTGGCCATTTTTGGACCAAAATTGTCACAAGTCCCCCCTGAAATTTTTCAAAAAGTGACCCCCTTGGCAAATCCTGGCTACGGGCCTGCATATTGAATGGTTCACGATTACGGTGGCATTGCATTCGTAATGCATGATGGACTGTGTATTCCAAAGAATAGTAGACTGTGAATTCCACAATTGCGGATTCCCTCACGATCGTGGATTGAGCCATGACGGATACTTTTTTAAATGGGCATCAATATTTAAGAAAATAAATCTTAGGTTATATGGTTAAAGCATCAATAATACAGGGTGAGCCGAAAAGGGGTAACCAAAATCGGCGCGATTAGGAATACACCAACATATGAAACTTGTTAGAATGAAAGAATGTTTAACAAGGTTGAATTGTGCCAAAAATGACATTACCCTTGCTGAATGATTCAGTTATATACATTTGTTTCAAACATTTAAATAAAATCAAACTCAAAAACTGCAGTTACTCTTATCCGTTTATTGCTAGGTCTCTTTGATAGGGTTTTGATATGACAGAATGAGGAAGTTGATTCAAATGATTTCAAAAAATGTATACAGTTTACGAAAAAGTACATGCGTATATCGAATGTAAATAATGTCTTTCTTAATACAAAAAATTAAAACTCATGTCGTGACAAGGTGTCCGATGTGACAAAATCAGTAAAACAAATATATTAGACGGAAAGTATCATGTAAATCGGTTTCACGATTTGGAAGTAAATGATAAGCCAAGAGCTATTTAAAACGTTATAAGCAGTAATCGGATCGGATAAGATAAGATTCAACCGGTCGTAACTGATCAACCAGATCCGTTGATTTGAGGTCTACGTACCATGTCCAAATCTCTACTTTGATCATAGGTATATCAGTGTGCACTTGTTGTTTACTCAGCGCCTCGGGAATCTTGTAAGCAATTAGTAAACGTGATGAAACATTGAAATAGTTGTTTTTTGATCTTCACTTTTTAATTGGATTATATCGTCATCGTTCTCTTCGGAACGTTTTTCTCTTGTGGGAACGTTTTTTCAAAGTGTGTTTTTGGTAGCAAGTTGGTTTATCATATCTTGTTTCCATTTTATTTCGTGTTTTGGTCCTTAAAGGTTCGGTAATGTAACCATGATCATTAGATTATGCCAAACCTGAAAAGATAATAACCCGACAATCGAGACCCTGAAAACACCATAACAATACCTTTAAAAGCTCATGGTCAGATCCCGTCTCAAATGCTATTATTTTCTTGAAAATAAAATTATAGAAAATTAAACCACGAGTATGGTGGTGACTTGGTCTCTGGTCTTTCTGGTCATGAATTGAGCAGATGGAAAACTTGGAAATGAAGAAGAAAATGACCCATTAGGCAACATAGACATCAATTTTGGTAGATTCAAAAATCTTTACCCACAAAAATATAAAATAAATGATTTTATTTCAAAATATGGCCCTTTTTACTGATATTGACTCCCCTCTCTTCTTGGGGCATTTTAGACTTTACAAATGCAGTGGCTGGTGAGAAATGGGTGTAAGAATTTATTGCATTTCACAGACAGGTGACATCGCTAAAAGAACAGTTCCAACAGTGGCGATAACTCTTGTTTCCATCTAAAAACTGACATTGTGACACATCACTAAGAGGGATCAATGATAGTATCTGGAATCTGTCTTATAAAATGGATTAAGCCATATGAATCTCTGTTTATATGCCATAAACAGTTCAATGTCAGTTTTATCTAAAGATCTCTAAAATAGATCCATTCTATTAGGTCAAGTATCTCTATTAATTAATTAGAAAGATAGCCAATTGTCTGGTATGCTACAGGTGTATCATGCGGGGCAAACTAACCGAGAGGTCTTTTGACGGTATGCAAATTAGCTTTTTTATTTCAGTTGTGCGCATGCGCGAATTAAATGAAAGTTATCCTACTTCTCCACGCAGATGATATTTTGAATGGGTATTAGATAGTTAGTATGTACTGTGCACCTGGAAGGGGTTTAATTATGGGAGTTTGTAAGTGAGCGTTCGGTAAACGCTTGGATGATCTGCCCCCTGAGGTCCTCTTCAATAAAATAAATGCAAGTTGTTTTCTTTACTTAGTTCATTTAAGAACACCAAACAAATCACACAATTCACCAGACACGAATTGTTAATTTGAAATACATTAGGATAAATGGACATTTGAACTGTCTTATTAAGAGCGACAATTATTAAAGAACTTTTACTCGTCTTTCATTATAAATGAATTTAGAAAATTAAATATAAAAAAGAACATTTGAAGTGAAATAAGAATTATTGCGCAACAGTTAAAAACAGGAAGAAAATTAAAAATCGAAGAATAACGAACTTCGGTCATGCCTCGAGCGTTCCTCATACGAAAGCCTATACCAGTAAAGCCAGGAGAGATTGGGAGGACCCCACCGGACTTTGCGGCTGCCAAACGACTTGACTTCAGCCACAATGCAAGGGAAAGAATGAGCCCGATAGCTGTTGCAGAAGGTACGCATTGTTCTAGTATTGATTTTCCCTGTCGTCTGCGTTATTTTATCGTCTGCTATATATGTTTTCTCTCTTAAAGCTAAATAACTGTTTGATATTCTTACATATTTTTACAAATGAGAATGTTGATATTATACATAATTTAACCCCATTTCCTATCGAGGTCATTATTTCTTACTTTGTTATGCATTTTTAAAATAAATATTGTATAATTTTTTCACGAGAAGTAGTTTCCGACACACTTCATGCAAGGCATTAATTAATTAATTAAAAACCACTTATTAATGATATTGATTTATTCATTAGAAAAATATTAAAAAGAAACAAGTCTTTCTGGGAATTGATAATGTTTTTTGCACAGCGCATAGCAGGTTATGTTTTTTTCTAAATATATAATGCTAGAATATGGTTTGATATGGTATTTCTTTATTAAAGTTGGTACAAATTAATTGTGACAATCACGATTCTATTAGTTTAAATAACTATGATATAAAATATAGAAATTTTTGTAACTAAAACCCGATGAGTCTAGATCTGAAAAACAATAAACTTTAACGATTAAATCTTTAATAATGAGCCTACAATGTAAATATTGTATAATTTTGGTATATTTGACAAGTAGTTCCTTAGGGGTCTACAACTTAACAATTGGCAATGAAAGTATGTTATTATCTCTCTCGTGTATTCATTCTCTAATTAATACAATTATAAATACTCTCTCAAAACAAAACATATTTGAATACAGCTTAAACTTAAGAAAAAGATAATAGCACGTCTTGGTTTTTAATAAGAAACGGTTTAGCTTTGAGCCATTTTGGACATTCCTTCTAAAACATATGTTTTCCTGATTTCTCCAAGAACATATGATCAAGGGATGCAAATTAAGGTGGGCAAGGTTTCAGTTACAAAACTGCGTTAGATTTATAGGATAATTTGCGACACTAAAAATAGAAACCATGGTTTTTAAAATAGGACAAAATTAGCACTTGGTTTCCATTTTGACTTGAAATGAACCAGGAGAGTAGATTGGGTGGCATTAGTTGCATAGAACTTTCTTTAGTTACAACTTGTTTAAGATCTACATCTGTTTTTACTTCCATATGTTTCCGTCGAGCTTTTTTCTTTAAAATTTCAGGACCTATAATTATCTTAGTGTCAATAGAAAAAAAACAAATTATAAATTACTAAAATTGTCTGTTATTCTACCAAAATTCTTGAATGGGGACGATGTTCTATAATAACTTGAAAATTATGAATTGATTCTTAATAGTCCTCTCAATAAATGGCTCTCAATTGCTTTTTTGTCGTCACACAATTTTATTTAAAAAGAGAAAATTAATTAAACTTTAAATTGCGTGCGAAGAACTGAGCTCAGTTGAAGTTACAAAAGATTCGCTTAATTGTATCGAGGGAGAGAATAACGTTTTATCGTTCAAATAGTTCTGTACAAAAAATCTTAACACTGTTTCTCCAACTGTAAAAATCAAATTTAAATTGATACTTTTTACCATGTCAAACTTAAGTGAAACCACTTACACTTAACCTCAATTCATGCGACAATTTGTGGTAACAAAATTAACAATACAGACATTTTAACAATCAGTCGGGGAATTTTGAACACTATCTGATAAAAATACCAACCATTCTTCATTTGATAATAAGTAATTTTGATCATCCCCCTCCTTAGAAATACAAACCGCAATTAATAAAATATGAATATATCAGGATCTATTTTAGAATTTTTGTCGATTTGAATTCAATAATTTTTTTATTGTGAATCCTTGACATTTTTGTGCCACTGAGTTTCTTATTCTTGTCATGCTGAAAGAATATTCTACCTACCCGAGACGTTTTGAAGAGAAAGTAACAGAAAATCATCCTAAAACGAATGGCGTGGCTGAGCGTAAAAACACACCTTTTGTATTGGAATCAAAATGATGTTGTTATGAGAATATTTTACAAAATCTAGTCATTATGTAATACAGGGATAAAACTAATTTACGATGTGTAAATCATTCACCAAAATTTTATGGAAATATGAAATTTATAAATAACTCAATTTCACTTCTTAAAATAAATAATCACCATAGTATATAACCATCGCTTTTTTCGTGAGAAAAAAATCCAAAAACGTATGTGCACAACACTTTATATTGCTCAAAATGCAAAATAATTAAGGTTGAATTTTTAGTCTTAAATTGTTTGGAATAAATTAAACTTTAGCAGACGAAACAAAGCATTATGGGTATTGTGATGTGTCACTTTCAATTCTCACAGGAACTCATGTCTCTGAATCGGCTAGAGAATAGCACAAGAGGGTACACGCATTGCCCCGCCTGCTAAAATTGAATTCTTGGTCCAATAAAAACTGCAATTAAGTAAAGAAAGTGACAGAGAAGGCGTTTTGGGAGTAATGACTACCTTTCTATGAAGTTAATAACTAACACTAATTTACCTATTCAAATAAAAAACATATCTGTAAAGAAAACATTATCTTGCAACGAGCAATAATTAACAGTGATTATCATATTACAACTATCGCTTCACAAATCTACTATGAAAACATTACGGAATAAAGATTAAATAAAATATATGTTTTCTAAGAGGTTAAATCAGGAAGGATTGAATATTAATGCCTTTATGAGAATGTTAATTTTGCCCAAAGTCAAACAGTTAATTTCTACCGTAATTTTACCTAGGGGTAGAGGATCCTGAGAAGTCACTAATTTGACGACAAATTTTTTGTCATCTCTAAGTGTGTAACAGTTTCCTATTTGAACAAGACTGTTATCTTTTTATCACTCGACGTTTGATCAAAAGCAAATGTAATCTTTTAGACCTAAATATTTCCCATTGAGGCTACTTAGGTCTCATACATGAGTCACGGGAATTTTTGTTTTTTTGCTTCGTAATCAAGATCTTTATCGTTACGTAGCCTTTAAACATTGTTCTCTTCCTGGTCATGATTTTCTGACATTTCTCTCAGAATGTGAATTGAATGTCTTCTTGGATTTCCTTTCAATTATAAATGCGAGTCACAAGTTTGTTTACCCCCATTCCTCGCCGATTCCCCCTTTTCACTTAATTTTGCATTTTTAAACATGACAATGTGGTCATTTTCATGAACGACTGCAAAGAACTTCTGAAACCACACAAAGTGTCGTAATTACTACTCTCATTCCTGATCTTAAAAAGGCAGAAAATTGACCAGACCATAATATCACTTCCATATGAATAGGTGTCATTGGACGTGTGTGCCAGGGGTTCTTTTAACTCAATTAAACTTAGCCTAAATTGGGTTTTGACAAGTGCTTTTAAAGTGGACCTTATCGGAGTGGTATCGAACGTGTGAGCGTGGGTGAGGTCGTCTCAATCCGTACCTATAGTACAGTTGTGTAATGCGCAGACATCATGGAATGAACATACAAAACCAAATCACCATTTTATGTTTCCTTTGCTAATTCTACAATCTATCAAGAGCATCAATCATGTAAATTGATCAGTGACAATATTTTATTGTATCATAACTATTTCTGGCACTATAGGTACTAGGTACATATGGGTGCTATTAGGCTTACTTGAAACATCCTAGGGGGTGGTCTACACAAGAAACATGCAAATAAATTAATTGAAATTTTAAATGTCATCCTCTAAACATCATTATGAGATTATGAGTTCCTATCAGTTCCTCACAGTACCATCCTTTGCAAGGCAGGGGTGGTCGGAGTATAAGATGCATTTAAAGATTGCTGTATCATAGCTAGTCGTCTGTCCCTCACATCTCTGTGGTTGGTATTTCTTAATTGGTCCAATGACTACAACGCCGTTTCAAGTCAACTCAGAGACAAACAGTATCATATCAAAGTAGCCCTATGTTATTTAAGAAAAACAATGGAATGCTGGGCGAAATAACAGGTATTCCCAGCAGATGATTGCGTAATTACAGGTATCACATTGCATTTTCCTAATTAGTGATATAAGAAACAAGTTTGGATAATTAGAAAATAACTATGGTGCATTTTTCTGTGATGCCCCGCCATAGGGAGTACTATCGTTGACTCTGCCCGTGCAGTTATCTACATTATTGGCTGTGTTTAGTATCTGATATTTATTTCAAAGCGAAATTACAATAAACAAAAATCAAACAAACGATATGAACTTATATCTTAGATAAATATCTTCGAGACCGCAGATGATACTTGATTTAGTAGCAAGAACTTCAAAAGAAAGTTTGGATTCAGGAAAAAGTTCAGGCTCTGTCTAATTTTAATTCCTTACAGTCGATAAATAAATAAATAAATAAATAAAATAGATAAATAAATACAGGCTTCAAAAATCAACAACGTTTTTCGGCGGGTCGATTTCTCCTGAAAAATAGTTTTATCATATAACTTATGATGCTTTTGGAGGTAGATCACACGTCAATTCACAATTAAAATAAAAACTGGGGTTTATCATATTTCAGAGGTTTAACGATTATTTAAGCTGTGATCGGATTAATTTCAGCTCACATCGGATTAAGATTAATCAAGGCATCGTTGTCCATGATGTGGCTATTTATAATGATAGTGATTACCGTAAAATCAATGAAAATGTGTTTATGTATTTTTCGAACCCGTAATCTATACAGTTTATGTCTCTCATAATCGGAAAATTGATTTGTCTTCAACAGAATTCGTCACAAGAAAGTACAATGAAGATTTGGAAAACAAAAAACACAATTTAATAAATCAAATGAATTTCAAGCAATCGTTATAGTTTCGATATCATTTGTAGTTATATATGTACATTAAACATTGATGTATCGGCTAGTTTGGCCCTTAGAAATGATGAATAGCACAAAAGTAAAAGTTAACAAAAAGATCGTGAAAAAAGATTTTGGGGATGTGTCAATCACACCCGAAACACCCAAACATCAGGAAACGACACGTGTTCTAGAAAACCAAAAACGTTGTATTTAAAAATGGCTGTTAAATACCAAGAATTTGAACACTGAATGGTGCAACTGCATTCAACAAGTCTTCTTACATGTTACAAAGAAAACTATTTGCTCAATTTTGTTTTTTGTTTAATTACAGCATGATTGTTTGAAAGTTAGTTAAAGTTTTTGTAACCCTTTGTTAGTATACCTGTTCGTGTTTTGTCTTAACCTGTAATTTTTCAATTTACTAATTCCGGCACCTGTTCGTAGAATAACGCCAGTCTTCTATTGTTAATTAGCCATTGCTCGGTATATTGTTACAGCCTCTAATGTTGGTAATCTGAAAGACAAAATATGGGTGCGACAACTCCAAATGCCGTTTTGGTATTTACTTTTAATAAATACAAATCAACAATTAAAAATTAAGAAATTGTCGCAATGGTGTCACATATACAGCTGTCTTTTTGGGGTCCAATCTACCGACATACGACTCCATTTGGGGTTTTTAACTTGCGTGTTTTAGAGTGAATAACTTTTCAGACTTTTTGAATATAACTGCACAAATTTCACACGGTTAATAAAATGCATAATAAAATCTGATACAAAAAGTAAAATCCAGCTTTATTTCTATTTTGAGCATGTATCAAAGGGAATTTGGTAAATTAATTCACTTATTTAGAAAAGAACCGTTCAGACTGTTATTTTAGACCCGTTTCGAGTCACGCTTGTCGAATCCTGACAAATACATTTCTAATGTTTGACATTTCCTTCAATGGAAATTAAAGGTTTTAGTATTAGCAGTGGATCGACATTAAATCGTCAAGCACCCAATATCACGTTATACTAACAATAGTTCACAGGTGCAGATCTTGAATCTGGGATGTGTTTTTTAATGTCTAGATTTTTTACTTATAAAGTAACTTTTTGTAGCCGGTTTACTGTAACGGAAAAAGTCTGGTACCAAAGCATTATTAAGCAGAATTATACCGTTTTGTCTAGTGATATACTGTTGAAGATTAAAATTAAACTATTTGAATATCTTTATGTCTAGGTCGATGAACTAAAATAAGAACTTATTTGTGATGGTGGACTACAGAGCAATCACCTTCACCGTTTCAATACATGAAATCAATCGAAACTGAAGCCAACACCTATTCCATTAATGCGTCTATGTCCCTTTTATTGCGGACGGTGTGTATTTGAGTTAAGATAATAGGCCTACTACCTTGAGACTCAAAACCTTTATAAAAAAGTTATGACAATATTCTTAGACTTCCGGGAGATTTTTCATTCTTCCATTCAAAAATGTCATTTGCAGTCAATATGGGCATTTTCACTGACCATCTATGAAATATCTAGATTTAATTATACACATCATTTCAAGTTCAGTTTTTTGTGGGCAAGCTTCTTCTACATGTATGGTGGCTTCGGGGCAATGTTAAAAAATCCATAGAAGATAAATGCTAGAAATGAAGATGAAATCTGCTTTCCTCCATTTTAATTGATGAATTGGTTTCGGACCCGGGGTTTCGGAGCAATGGACTAGATGTTCGCCCAAAGTTGATTTGTTTTATTATACACATACATTGATGATGTCACCGTAGAAGTATGGCCTCGATCTAATCTGATGGTATCACCAAACAGCAAACAAATAAACAAATTAATATTAAGTAAATGGTGTAACTAAAGGATATGCGAAGTGAAGGTATGTGACTCTGGTGATTCCCATATTATTCTATAGTGGGCATCTTTTAAAATGCAAAATATAAAAAAATATTGAATATTAAGTGAGACAGAAAAGTATCAAAGATGAAGTGCATAGTCTAAAGTGTACAGAAACGTAATGAAATTAGTCATTTCAATCAAATTTTTGAGAGAAATAGAGTGGAATAGAAAAAAGCAGACGACACTCCAAGCAAAGTTTTGCGACGTTCGGGAACACAGTGTAACCATGGTACAACGCGACTCCTTTACTCCCTTCCCGTGATCAAACTCAATTACCACACTGCTTACGGGATCTTATTATTTTCTCTCCCAAAAGAAAAATGTAAACTAAATATGATTTAAAAAGCACAACCGAGTTGTAAAGGGCGAACAAATTGAGAAATTGAATAAATGGGGATGAAATCGAGCCTCAAAACTGTCAAGAAATGGAAGAAAATGAACAATTTCTATGAAAATTTTGAATCAATGGGAATGAAATAATTACGATTGTGTATGAAGTTTTAAACAGGGTGAATCTTAAAATACAAGTACCTCTATAATAAGAGTGGCCATTGCTCGCCGGAACACCCCAAGAATAATGACAACAACTATTGTATTGTGAAATCTTTATGAATTAAGGTGACACATTTCATTATATTATTATCTATGTTGAATTGTAGCCAAAGGCCCAAATTGAAGTCCTTGTAGTAAAATCAATGCTGGGAAAATATAGCGAACAACGGGGCCTGTTGGACCAGCGTCAAATTGCCGCAATCTATACACATACATCAAACTTTTACTTTCAGGTCCTTGTTTATAACATTTCTTTAACTGTTTATTCATTAGGCTAAATCTCAAGTTCAGTGATTAATTCATAAACTGGTGGGGTCATTTGCAAACCAAGTTCAATAGCATGCACTACACTATGTAACGTACGCGAACGTGACTGAATAACGAACGTGATTTTATACAGACCACACATTTGATAACATATATAGACAATATCTGGGGTCCTCTATGAAGGAACGAGGAAGTGATGAATGGTTGGAATGTAAATCAGTTCAGTCATTGCTAGGTACATCTACATCATCGGGAAAGATCGGATAACGGCATTCTGTTGGTTTCTTTCTGATCTTTTGCTTCAAATTACACTAATTCCAACAGTTCGATTTTGCTTTTTAAAAGAGAGTTTCATCTACATTTTAATAATCTCTGATGATAGTCTGAAACTCAGAAGTCAGAGCGATCAAATAACATGAATCTTGCTTGATAAATGAAAAACTTTTTATTCTCTAAAATAACAGATTAGAAAGGCGTTTTTGCACGTATCATTTGACATATGTTATAGTGTCCGTCTCACATGATAGTGAACACATCATAATTGACAACGAAAATGAGCATCGTACAGCATATACCACAAATGCCCAGGTGATTGCGTGAGAACGCTTAATTAGCAGTAGCATTGGTAAAGATGAGTCCATCCAGTAAATTGTCTTTTTACAGGCAGGATACCGGAGACACTGTCATCATTAAAGCAGGCCCGCAATGTCATCATCTCGTATACGGTCACCGTTACATATTAGGATCAACCTAATCATGTACAGCACGAAACAAAATTGATTATATGATACTTCAAAAATCGTAGTTGCTTGGATCAAACAGAAACTTTAACCACTGGCCAGTTTGCATAATGATTACCATCATTACCCTGTTTCTAAAATCAAAGGAAGCCTCCTTTCTCATCATGATAAACCAAAATCATGACATCTCTCATTTCTTCTCAGCCTTGGTGAAACAGGAGTATCAGAATGTCCTTTCTGATTTGACTATCTGGAAGTCCTGGGAATTCAGCTCCTTGGTCGTGCAATGATTGACTACGGAAAGTTCTGAAAATAATAGCAAAGACTGTGTTCCCAACAGAATATTCACATACGTTTGCGCATTCTTTGTTCAGCAATTAAATTGATTTAAATCCAACGAAGTTTCACTTATTTATTAATATGTAATTTATCTCAGTGGGATTATGACGACTGCCTTTCATATGGCTAATGGGTTAAAAATACTTTTTAATGGAGCTCACCATGCCTTGGTCGGTGAACGCTTTGTGAATAAAATTTCATGGTGACTATGTTTTATGGTGCAAAGAAACGTTGAATAGAGAGAAAAAGTGAGGTAAACATCGAATGAACATATTGCAAATTTTTTAATTTGTATGCAAAATTAAGAACATCAAACACTTCTTTGAAAAATTAGGGCGAAATGGCGGGAAACGAGATTTAGCAGACGACATTTGAAGGTTGAGATTTCGTGTTTTTCTCTGTTAGTTCCCCATGCCCCCAGCCAAATTACTGTTATAACATAACAGTTTACGTAACGACGTCATCAAAAAGAAGTTTCATCTTTACCGTGCTTTAATAGGTCGTAATCTCAACAATACATGCAGATGGATTATGAATAACATAGTTTGGGAGTTGAAGATTTAAAAAGGATTAAAGTCTCATCAAAATGGAATTTGTTGGTATATATACAAAGGTTAACTTCGGCATGGTATCATACTGTATTATAAAGACTTAAAATGTGGTGATGAATAAAAATGTTAATTCTCTTTATTTATTTATTTCAGAGAGTTCGGTATGCATTACTCCACCAAAAAGTGATGATGGAAGGATTGAAACACAAGAAACGTCTCCAACTGAAAGCGCAGACATAAAGAATAGTCCTTCGAAACCCCAGGCGGAATTTGCAGATATTTACAAGAACATTCAAAAACCAAATATCCAAACGACAATCGAGGAGGAAAAACTACGTCATCACTATGAAGCTTTCAAACTTGGACTCACACCTCCCCCGGCCCACTTGCACTACCCAGATGCGAAGGTGAAATCTAATTTCGGTAGCATACATTCTCACATTCACCGCTTGCCCCATTATGTTCCGGGCGTTCTCCCATACCCACCTCTGGCCACTTTACGCAGTCACATGTCACATTATCCTACGTCATATACCCATCCGCCCCCTTTCTTTCCTGCATTCCCAACGTATCCATCAAATCAACAACAAAGATATCTTCCAACTCTCCACCCAGCCCATATGTTACCAATTCTACCTCCTCTCCAGACGACACCGTTTAGACCCCCTGATCTGGCATTAAAAACACCTCCTACGTCACCAGAAACGTCACCAGTGTCCAAAGCACCACCACAGCTACCTGATCATCCACCTAGTCAAGTTTCAAAGGATACGTCACCCTCAACGAAGGTAAGTAAAAATACTACAATTTTTTAATTTGAATTTACTGAATTTAATCCTGAATCTATGGCGACTGTATAGACTGTATGGACAACCTCAGTTTTTGTATTACTGTATCAGCGTAAGCCTATATGTATAGTGATCTGACAGTTATAATGTCTGTTTTAAAGAAATAAGCTGCGATTAGTATCAGAAGGTTGAACATGAAAATTCCAAATGTTTTTTAGAAGACGTTAAACCTATTCTCACATTGTATTTTCAGCCTCGAACTCCAATCAGTGGTGTAGAACTAGTCAATGGCGGTTATGGGATCAAAAACCCTCTCTTGGTAAATGGGCGTTCTCAGAGAGACTACTTAGCAGCACAAGAATTAGGTGAGTGCTTTAACGTAACACATTCGGTTATTGACGTAAATGTTAGGATTTCAACCCATCCAAATTTTGCTTCTGTATGTACACTCCCGTCCATAAGTTTGGTAACCAGAAGTCCACTGTTGGATCGATTCTCAAAGCGCCCTCTTTATGTTTGGCTATTTGAAATAAAGATGCATCAATTTGTTGTGAATTTCCGAAGCAAATTGTAATTAGGCCTAATGAACAAAATGCAGATGAGTCAAACCTTGACAGACTTTGATAATGCTATCCAATGAAAACGTCTGGTGTCAAACTTTAGGAGAAGAGCGTACTTGTGTACTAGTGTAGTCAGGGTAACATGGTCGCATGTGTCCGAGTTCAAAAAAGATTCGAATGATGTAAGAACACACCTGGGGCCCATGACTTCACGTTCCAAGAACCGCGATCCAACGAGGCACCAAGTAGAAAAGGGCAATTACTTTTTAGCAGTCGTTCGTGCTCATGCGATATTGTAATATAAATGCTCACGTAACATGCATAATCGGTATTGACACCTTGTAGAGACGTTAAGCTATATACGTTTAACTTGTATGTGAACGTGGTAGAATTTAAGAATTATGATCCCATTTTCAGTTTTAAATTATCCGTATTACGGAATGAGTAAGAAAAAAGTAATGCATTTATATATTTGTATCCAAACGGCAAACGTGGAAGGAAAATGAGAATAAAGTTAAAAAGCACTACGAATTGATTTAGAAAAAGTGCGACATTTCTCACTTAAAACACGACTGTTTTCTGTTGAATGATTTACGATTGTCAAGGTCACCGCGAATTCCACGAGGGAATGGTACGTCACCCAAGAAAGATGGATTATCGTTTAGATGATCGATGAATAGATTATTAGACCGCTTAGTGTTACATGCCTCATTTAAACGTTTTCTTGAAAGCCACTTTAGCAAATGGCAAATGATGGGTCTACTAAACTGAGTTCTCAAACACGCTACATTTTTCTACCCTTTGCATTTGTTCGACTTCACCTCTTAAAAGAGAGCTTCGTAGTTTATAACTAGACTCTGCGAACAGGGTAACATTGTTCTTATGTCACATAAATTTTTAACATCAAGACCAAGGTTATAAAGTTTTTCCGATTTACTGATATCACTAAGTACCTTTTAATTTACTAAGAACTCGCATATTGAGACTGTTTTTGACCGTTTTGTACATAACGTCACTGTGGTCCGACATCTTTAAGGGAACTTGCTTAATTGTAGGCTATTTGATCAATAACGCATGTTTCTTAATATTTCAGGGGTACAAACATCTGATAACAAGTTCATCTGCCGAGTCTGCAGTAAAGTCTTCCCGTTGCAAAGGCTGTTGAACCGCCATATCAAGTGCCACAGCGACATCAAACGCTATCTATGCACCTTCTGCGGCAAGGGATTCAACGATACTTTCGATCTGAAACGACACACTCGAACTCATACAGGTAAATATGAAATGCATCGTGTAGTTGTACTCTGAGACACAGACAGAGTTAAAAATCTAGTTGCAAAAGCAAACGCTAAATACAAAAAGTACAAGTGTTTCGTTAAGTATCTTCGAAAAAGTAGTTCACGAGTAAAAAATAGAGTGACCTAAATGAACTGTTTGTCCAGCCAAAAGGGGACGAAAAGACGAAAGTGGCGTGGTTTATTAAGATTTTGTGATTTTGTTTTTTAGGTGTGCGACCATACAAATGCGTGGAATGTGACAAAGCCTTCACCCAGCGATGCTCACTCGAATCACATTGTCGTAAAGTTCACGGCATCAGTTTTACATTCAAATATAAAGAACGCAGGGACAAAATGTACGTATGTGAGGACTGTGGACACGTGACAAGTCAACCGGAACTTCACTTTCTCCACTTGAAAAATAAGCACCCTCATAGCCCAGCTCTGTTAAAGTGCTATGATAAACGCCAGTTTAAGTTCAACAGTGACCTTGTTCCAGTTCTCTTAAATGACCTAAAATCATGAGTAAACGTCACTCTACACCATGCTCTGCGTGAATCAAATTGCGATCCCCTTCTGAGTTGGAATGAAAGTTGTACGTTAAGAGACTTCATAAACTGTGCCAGGGGCGAATCTGGAAATCAAAAGGAGGGGGTCAAAAATTGCATCAATGACCATGGGAATCGTCAATAGATGGCATAAATCTCAACGGTTATTTTACATGATACATTAATAACATTGGAAAATATCAAAAGAGAGACTAGCCTACATTATTAATGACATTAAAAACGCTTGAAGATATTGAACAAGCGAATATATATATGTAAAGACAGAACACAGAGAAAGAGGAGACATTATAGAGTTTGAGTAATGTGGTCTTTGATTAATGTAGTGTTTACGAGTTTTCATTATTGAAGCAATAGTTGTACAAAAAACAATGAAACAAGAAGTTGAGAGAACCTGCTATTGCCAAAGACGGAACAGAGATTAACTTAAAGAGAGTGGTATCGTGGTATGGCTTCACAATTGACATGTGGCCATATTATCTACGAACTGAAATTGCATGTACATATTGTTAAATTATTGTAAAAAGACTGTAAATATATATTTATTTTTTAATTTCTATGGAATAACTAATGTTTTGTAAATTTCAGTGAGAACCCCAGATCCCATACTTCTTGGCATCATCTTTTCGAATCGTTAAAATCAATATCACCGTCCATTAGCTCTGCTAGCTCGTGTTGAAAATTATTACAATTTCAATGTTTAACAATATAAAGACATGTTTACATAGCACTATGGAAAATTTTTTCGGATTCTTCAATCAACTAATAAAGTTTTTGAAATTAAGCGAAATCATATTAAAGTGATCGAAACCCAGATTTATGAAAAAATTCACGATTGAGCTGATTTTATGCAACATGCTCCAAAGTGTATCATATGTATCATGGTATGTTTTATAGCTGTATGGGCACCAGTTGCATCAAATAAACCCCAATGGCTACGATGACATAACGTCATGCAATGCACACCATTGGTAATATGTTATGGGCATTACTTGGCCATCTTTGGCAAAAAATGAGCCTCAAATTCAAAGTTTGGGCCCAATTTCTGGATTTAGGGGCCGAAAAATGTTTCCCTTATTTTAAATTTGCCCCCCACCCCTTGTTAGCTTCATGGATCCAGCAATGCTATCCGCTCTAAATTTCTCGAGTATTCGTAGTAGTTACTTACCAGAGGGGGTATAAGAAGGTACATGTATAAAGAGAAAATAATTTTAATTGGGTCCCTGGAAAAAGCAATTAAGAGAAGGACACTAATTTCTATGGAATAACTATTGTTTTGTAAATTTCAGTAAGAACCTCAGATCCCATACTTCTTGGCATCATCTTTTCAATGTTAAACAATATAAAGACATGTTTACATAGCACTATGGAAATTGTTTTCGGATTCTTCAATCAACTAATAATGTTTTTGAAATTAAGCGAAATCATTTTAAAAGTGATCGAAACCCAGATTGAGATGATTTTATGCAACATGCTCCAAAGTGTATCATATGTATAATGGCATGTTTTATAGCTGTATGGGCACCAGTTGCATCAAATAAACCCCAATGGCTACGATGACATAACGTCATGCAATGCACACCATTGGTAATATGTTATGGGCATTACTTGGCCATCTTTGGCAAAAAATGAGCCTCAAATTCAAAGTTTGGGCCCAATTTTGGGATTTAGGGGCCGGAAAATGTTTCCCTTATTTTAAATTCGCCCCCCACCCCTTGTTAGCTTCATGGATCCAGCAATGCTATCCGCTCTAAATTTCTCGAGTATTCGTAGTAGTTACTTACCAGAGGGAGTATAAGAAGGTATAAGGAGAAAATAATTTTAATTGGGTCCCTGGAAAAAAGCAATTAAGAGAAGGAGGCTCATCCCTTGGGTCATAATATTACATGTCCACGTAGTTTAAAAAAAAGAAATCCCAAAAATGTACCATTTGGGTAAAGGCAAACTGATATAGACAGTGATGAACAGTGGCAAATAAAATGCGAATAAAATACAAATGGGAGAACTAATACTTAGAGAATCATAGTTATACAGTTATTGTTTCAAAAATTTCAAAAATAATAGGCATTCTTTTCAAAGTAAGAAATAAACTATCAAGACATGCATTGTTAGACATTTACTATTCACTTGTTTATTCACATATTTCGTATTGCAACATCATATGGGGTAATGCCAACAAATCATTACTTACACCATTACTTAATCTTCAGAAAAAAGTTGTAAGACTGATTTGTAATGCAGATTATCAACAATCTAGTGTACCATTATTTAGGGAAATGAAAATCTTAACAATTTTTGACATTCACAGGTTAGAGAAATCAAAATTTATGTATAATTGTGTCAAGGAACCATCAAATTTTCCTGCTTATCTTTTCAAAAACTACTTTACATACATGCACAATCATAATGTTGGTAATCGTACTACAAGACAGTTTCATAATATACGCCCCAGCAAAATAAAAACTGAATTGACAAAAAGATCAGTGACATATTCTGGTGCTATTTTATGGAATTCTTTGCCAATTGTATTTCGAACATGTAAAACTTTGAATTCTTTTAAACACAACATTAAAAAGGACCTTTTGTAAAAGATGAATGGAAATACTATATAAGATCACATTCCATTTAAATTAATTATTTATATCCAGACTTCAAAGTTTCTGTATTGCATCTAAACAATTTAGATAATGTATGTTACACTGTTATATATTATATGTTTTGTGATTGCGAAGATGCAATAATTTTTGATATATGCACTGATACGCCCAATTACTAAGGGTGTCGAGTGCACATGCTTTGTACATTCCATTGTTATATTATCATGAAATAAATAAAAATAAATAAATACACGTTCACGAACAAGTTGGGTTTATTTTCACCGTGACTGCAGATTCTAATTACTTATTTGAACATTTTTGAAGAAATAAAGTAAAAATTGAAGATATAACAGTTTTTTCAATTTCAATTTATCTAGGTTTCCTCAGTAAGACCGTAAAAATATATGCCATTGTTAAATTAATAACATTAGTGGCAAAGATATAATAGTGAAACCAAATGAACAAAACAGATTTCTGTAATATTATATATATTCCATTATATTTTTGTTTGATGTAAAAATATGCAATTGATAATACTGAATAACAAGGCACGTGACTAACTGTGAATATATATATATACATGTATACAAGACAATATAAACTCTTCAAAGCCATGTAAATTAATAAAATATGGCCCCAATGATTCATCAATACACATATCTATGTTCATGTATATGAATACGGTAAGCTAAGGGACGACGAGAAACGGCGAGAAATATTAACGATATCGGACCAGTATTGACATAGGCGTAGCCATGGGGGGGGGGCGTAATCTCTAAGAATAGCACCATTAGATAAAAGAAGGAAAGATCTTTAAAATGCTTTTTATTTGAAGTTTCTAGCTCTATTTTGAAGGAAGAAATCTTTGGCTTTTGGCTCACATATTTGTGATAAAAATGCCTTGGGAATCAACGCAAGAAATAACGCAAAAAATTAATCGATCCATCGAGGTTCCGTCATTTTGTTACCGAAATGAAGCGTTTCGGGAACCAGCGTAATCGAATGGATCACCAGTGATATAACCAATTATCATAAAATACTAGAACTTCAAAAATGGTGATATTCTTCTTCTTTGATTTTGTCGCCATTTCTCGTCCGTTACCGTATCTTTATGAAAAGTGTCCAATCCCTTTTGTATAATGAAAGAGAGAAACAACAAATGACTGTGTTATTGATTCACATATATGAAGAAACAAAGCAGGGGGTGCGACTTTTGGGTTTGCATCACTGCGAGTGAAGCGAGCCCAAAAAGGGGAGTTACGGGGGGTTCAACCCGGAAGTTTTTTTGAATTAACAATTGTAAATAATGCATTCTCTAAGCATTTTAAACTATAATTTGTTAATCTTTTTCAACAAAGTTTACAAATCGGTTCTTTCTTTTTTTGTGCAATCGACCCCCCCCCCCCCCCCTGGCTACGCCCATATCAGTGTTAACATAATATGGGTCATCGACCCGTAATTACTGACATTTCGACAAAATACGATCGTTTTACCATGCCATCTTCAACATCAGCGCCCGGTCGATGAGCAAATGCGACCACAGCATTACACGGCTTGACAGTTGAAGTGTTTTAAATGCCATGCCATGATTTGTGATTATATTGTTCCTTGCTCACTCAGCCATTTCACCAGTGGCCAATTGGGCATTGGAGGATGGGTCAATGAGTCCTGTTTGTCGTGTTGCAGGGCCTTCAAGACCTGAGCCTTCAGCCGCGGGTGTTACAGAGTTCCTGGTCAGTTTCCTAATCAACGAAAGGACCTGTTCTCTGAACCTCGCCATTCCCATACAATACAAGTAAAAATTAACGGCATTGTTCATGAAGTACAAACGATCGGTAATAGCGTGGACGATTAAGAAAGTGCCGATGTTCGTCAAATCGATTCCGATGATGCCATATATCACAACGGCGACGTTGATGGGCAGCGTGAAAATAAGAACAGAGAATGAGACGATAATGAGCATAACGGTAAGATCACGGGAGTGTTTTCTTTTTTTCTGATCGGTCGTCATCTGGGTGCTGACTTTGCTCCGGGCACGGATGGAGCCAATAAGCAAGGTATTGAGGATGAGAAGTGTAACGGTGGGAATGATTGATTGAACGAGCGTGTCAATCCAGGAGAGGACACGACCAGGGGCATCGACGGGACTTTCATATCCGCTGCACAATGCGAAATTCCTCTCAGCATCGATCGTTGCGGGGTAGGCATACCAGATGAAATGGATGTTTCGCAGAATAGCTAAGACAATGACTAATGCGATCACCTTGCGTGCTCTTTCAACGGTACACCAGATGGATTTTTTGAGAGGAAACTTTACGGCAAGGGTTCTGTCGACACTCATGGCAATAATCAAATAAATGGAACATTCCTGCCACAAGTTTGCCAAGAAAATCACAGCTTGACAAACAGCAATTGTTACAGTTGATCTGGTAACGTAGCTATATAGCCAGTAATACACCATGTTAATCATTTGAAAGTTATCAACGATGGCTAGAGCCGAGATGTAATTGCACGTCGCCAATGTCCGGTTTCGACCCTTGGTCATCACGATCAAAGCGAGTGTATTTCCGACGATTCCGAACAAGGCGATGAACGGCGTAGGGTAGAGCTCGATCCAGATACCGATATCTGTTGCCCTTGATATCCATTCAAAATCCACAGCATCATCTGCCACCGCCGCTGTATTACTTATCCCCGTAATGTTATTCACTATCGTCATGTTATTAACTCCCGCAGTGTTATTCTCCCCCGTGTATGCGTTATCCATTGTCGTGTTATCCATTGTCGTGTTATCCATTGTCGCAAAAGTTGGAATGATTTGAGCAAAGACCAATGAGTTGTACGGCTGCAATAGAAAAAATAGTATTATGGTTACCATGGGTACCTGCCTCTCCTCACATTGGGAAGTATTTTCAACAAAGGTTGCAACCATTTAGAAAGTTAACACTATACGAGTATATAGGCTACAGCTAGCATACTCTTGTGTTATATGATCTGAAATATGATACATATTGACTGACCTATCCATAGTTTATCTATAATAATCCATAATCTATATTTATAATATTCCGATTTCTGATCTGTTAATTTGCGACTCGTTTTTTCATGATTTGGCTATTTAATTTGACTAAATAAAATAAGCAACCAATAAGTGAATATAGTCCTCGTGCAATTGGAATTTACTCCCTCTACTCCGCCTCTTACTGAATAAGTTTCATTGTAAATTGAGCCAATCTGATATTGTCGACTTTGTGCGTTCTTTAAAGAAGCATGAAATTGGCATCCTCATTCACGGGTAAATTAATTGATCTGTTCCTCCAAGAACACATTAATTCCGATTCTATTTAATCACAGTAAAGTACAAAATGTACCACCTGGTTGAACGCAATACTAGGTAATAACTGAATTTGATGATACTTTATCGTCATAATTTGCTCGAGTTATACATAATTTACACCTTGTCATTCGCTGCCATAGTAATAAATGGGTCCCATCTGAACAGTTCTGTCTATTTGTTCACTGTACTTTCAGCCAACCAGACAGCATTATAAGTTATTGAATGATTTGAAGTGCAATATACAGGATATATTCTGCTCGAGAAATTCCGTATTGGACAGAATACAGAATATCGAGAGCGGAATATATCCTGCATTGCACTTCAAATCATTCTATAACGTTTTTATCGCGTGATCCCCTGTTTTGCAACTTAGAATGTCCCCTCCGTACCAATATTTTCTGTATTGCGACGGAGATGATCAATGGGGACAATCTCAGTAGCAATACAGATTGGTACAGCACAAGAACTGGCCAATCAGAAAGCTTCATTTTACAGATCATACGATAAAAGTATATATTACAAAAATGTTTCTAAAAATATTGAACCATGAATTCATTTGGGACAGAGCCACTCAATCAGCAACATATTGATCTTTTGTGTATAAACTTTTTCTTATTGCAGATTATAGCAAAAATGTCAAATAAAAAAAGCTAAATAAAGTTATTATAGCATGTCACAAAGTGAATACGGGTGTCAAGAGATGATATCAAATAATATATGTCACCTCGTCAAGGTGGTGCCATGACCAGTAGTGATATAAAAAAGCCCATATTAATTCATAGTGCGTTTAATTAATTACTACCCTGTCTAGTTATAAACTACCTAACACTTCAAGACGAAGCTCTCTTTTGAGAAACAAAGTCGAACGAATGCAAAGGGTAACTAATTACAGATTTTATTAATTACATTGTCAGTTGTAAACGAATTCTATATTTCGATTAACATTTAGTAGTTTCAGGAACTTTTATCTTTTACTTGATATATCGGATCTCCTAAGATAATACAGATTTCAGAAAACTGTTTAAAATTCTTCAAATATTAAGACAAGTATTGGATTGATTAAAAATCTTAAAGTATACCAGTCCTTCGGAAATATTGTCAGCCACGATAACTAATCTACGAGATCCGCTCCTGTCTTTTTCCCGTTTCAAATGTTCTTTTTTCTCAGATTTCTAATTAAAATTATCAGATGCTTATTTTGTTTCCTTCTTTTATTAAATCTCCTGGTTTCTCTTCTTTTTTTCTTGATCGCCCAAACCCGATATTTTTCAATATCTTGACCATTAATTATGTTCTGTTGTCCATCAAAAACCAACCTTTCATTTTTTTGAAACCTTTATTTCTAAGCCGGTTAGTGTACATGTAGGTAGCTATAATTCAATTACTCTGAGAGATTCTAGGTTTAACCATAAAAGTAAACCTTAAAACATTTTCGGGTCACTTTTATTTATAAGTTACAGAGAGTGCTTTATTTGATATACATGTATAATGTAATTTTATACAATTATGTTTTATATTTATATATATTTAGCAGTTCAGTAGTTATAATTACATTTATACAAGTATACACGCCTTTTTAGCTTGTTTTAGAAGGCCAAATATATCATATACAAGTATAAATACTTAGTTGTATAATTATGGAATAAACAAAAATAAACACTGGTAACTTCAGGCATACACGTCTGGATTGTACAAATAAAGAATTATCTTTAAATAATAACTAGGATTTCCCAATTAGTGTATTACATATGTATTATGATTGTAGCTTAAAGCTACTTACCTTTTGTGTCTTATTAGCTAGAATGAGACAACTTCACATATTCCTAGTCTACCTGCTCATCACGTTGTCATGGTATCTACAGATAACAAGAGGGGATTGCTGTTCCTTTTATACCTTTATATATCACCATGGTGTCAAGGTAAGACAGTAGTGATCCAGCTGCTTAATAAATGAGTTTTTCGGTCTTCATTTAACAGAGTGGTTAAAGCTGAGAAATTGCTATTAATCAAAGAAGTATATACTAAGTAGTTTGGAAAAAAAATTTATAATGAAAAAGAGATTTTAATGAGGCTTTGGACTGGATTGTGGGCACATTGTTATCTTGGGCTTAGCAATAGACTGTAGATAAAAGACATATTGTTTGACCTCGCAATAAACTGTAGATCATTATATTCTTTTTCTTCATTTTTGGGCTGTGTGCAGAAATAGTTTATCCATTTAATCAACATAGCGAAATTTCAGTTTCATATAAGAATTGATGATGGGTTCCATTTTTCATTTTTTCCTGATAACTTTAAAAAATCTAGATTTATTCTGAAAAGTTAGAAGTGCTGTACCTACTGAGAAACAGCAGAATAGAATATCGAAGTGCAAAAATGAGAGCAAAAAATTGAGAAAACTATTCTCAACTCGCACATAGAGTCTGCTGCACACTAATATCCTAATATTCATGTGTAATTTTGGCACTCATTAACTGATAACTTAATCCATTTCTGAATGCATCATTGTTGTATTTAAGCATTTGGCATCACAATACATTCTGAATTCATTTAACAGAATGAAGTCCACTATTTTTGTGAAAGTTTGTGAACACCTCCATTGAATCAGGTGTATTCCTAGGTTTAACCAATGATAAGGCAGTTTGAAAATGTTGCTTAGTAACAGAGTCCGCTTTCATGCTCTCCTCCATTGCGGCCATAGCAGCTTCATGGCACACTGCAACAATCTAAAAATGGAAAAAATGGAAAAAAGAAATTGTAGTACAGTAATCTGAACACCTCTAGATGTGAATGCTTTCAACTTGCCATAGACTTCCATGTTAAAGAACATTGAAATGTGAACACCTAACAATATGAACACTTTTGACAGGTCAATCCAGCAAAACATTCGTGAAATATATTTCAAATTGTCATAGGTTTTTAGATTTGATTTTTAAGCTGGAGAAAGTGATATTTTAAATAATTCTTTGATGCTTGCACAGTTCAAATATACCAACATATACGTATATGTTTAATTTAGTTGTTCTAGGGATTTAAAGAGAGAATCGGATCTAGCGAGACGGCCAACAATAAATTGTTTCAATTTTAGAATTTCTGGCTCATGTCATTCCATTTCGAATTTTCATGGGTGAAAATCAGAAAATAGATACAATATACAAGACCTTCTTTAAATACTAGGGGTTTTACTGGCAGCAGGCAATTTTCACGGGTTGTTTTCAAAAAATTGCCTGTCTTTTTAAGGGACTTTTCAACTTTTACATGTTACATTTATGATTTCCATTAATTTTGCCTGTTGTTTTCATTTTAGCCTGTTGTGAGGAATTCTAGTGAAACCCCTTAATACCCTTGATTTCAGAATTATAAAGTCATACTTAAAAACTTATTTGCAATGCTGAATCCAATCCACAATTGAAACCATGTGAGAAGCAGAAGATCCATGAAAAGTTTATTCAGAAAATCTGAGTAACCTAATTTGAAGAATCAAGATTAGATAACAACAGCACTATCTACAGTTGCCCTTTAAAAATAAATAATAAAAATTCTAATATACCTCAGCTCCAGAATATCCTTCAGTGCCTGCAACCAGGTGATCTATTGTGACATCATCAGAGAGGGGCATTGTTCGCAACCTTATTTGGAATATGTCATTGCGAGTCTCTGCATTGGGAAGTGGAACATAAACCATCCTATCTATACGGCCAGGTCGAATTAATGCCTTAAAATAATAATACGAGATATCAATGTATATAAGGCATTGACATACGAAATGTCACAACCCACCATTTGTTACAGACGCCAACTTCCGAACTCCAACCACCAAACGCTGAACACCATCCACAAAAAATTGGAGACTATATACAATATGGCACCACCTTTGGTTGTGACATAAAAATGAGATAAATAAAAGCATAAAACGACACAGGACTCGAGGCAACGTTAAACAGAAATGGATACTAAGTAGATTGGAAATTTCATTGACAGAAATAGATATTAGGTTTAACAGAAATGGATTTAGGCTGAAGAGTTCTAAGACCTTTGTTGACAAATATAATAACCTTAATGAATCACATCTGGTTTTGTTGTTGTCGCCACTTAGTTACATCCTTATCAGGTATATCTGATCTGTCTGTTGCAGTTACTATGGTAATTACAACCTGTACCCACCTTATCAATCATATCTGGTCTGTTTGTTGCTGCTACTATGGTAACATCCTTGAGACTTTCTACGCCATCTATTTCTGTCAGAAGTTGAGCTAGAACACGCTCTGACACATTACTTCCTCCAGCACTGGAAATGAATACAACGTTATAACAAGGCATTTTAACATGCAAAATTACTACCTTCCATTTGTTACAGAGGCCATTTGTTACAGTCGCCAACCCAAAATGCAGAACACCAACTGCATCTACAAAAAAGTTGGAGTTGTATATGTATCACTTTACTTGTGGTGGTGACATAAAAATGCTCTAATGTCATTTGCATATTTTTACTTGTTTGGTTCCTTCCAAAATCTTGCAATTTTGCATAGAAAATCACAAAATGCAGCACTCTGCAGAGAATTTGCACTAATTTACCGGCAGACAAGTTTGATAATTGATTGACAGTATCTATAAGATATACCAATGACTGATGAGATTTATTAGGCTACTGAGTAAACAATACAAGGCATTAACATGCAAAATGTCACCACCTGCCATTTGTTATAAAGACTGCATGATTTGTTATAGATGTCAACCACTGACTGCTGAACTCCAAATGCCAAACACCAAACACTAAGCACTATCCACAAAAAAGTTGAAGACTATAAAGATATGTCACCATTTGTGGTGGTGACATAAAATTATCTCATCATGTTTGGGCTACTAGATAATTACAAGATCAACAAGACACACAGTGATAAATATCGCACTTTGAAGAGCAAACTGGCCACCATGCAATTCACCCAGCATGGCCAAAACCTAATCAGACCTTGGCACTAGTCTGCTCTTGCATCTGTAAACATTTCAAGTTGACAAGGTTAGCGGTTTTCCTGCAATTTTGATGACAAGAATTTATTTGTAGTCTTGAACTTTGGGAAAATTTAGATAACATTGTTTGTGACCTAATTTGATGACCTTTGACCTTGAAAATTTTACTTTTTCAGACCTCAGTAGGTGTTTTGTAATTAAGCTGACCTAAATTTAAATCCAAAATATCAATTTAGAAAATCAACTTTTTGACCTTTTCAAGGCCACTGAAGGTCAACGAAAGGCCAAATCTGAAATCTAAGGTCAGATTTGAACTTCTGAGAACTTGTAGATGTTTTTAAAAAAAAAATGTGGTCAATTTCAAGGAGGATTGGCTCCCAGAGTGCACCACCGATATTCTGTCCCATATATGGGTATGTCGTAATACAAAATTCGAATTCAAACAGCCGCCATTTTGTTCACTTCAACATTTAAATCGTGAATTTTGGTCTTATTTCCAAACGAAAAATTCCAAAACTCACAAGAAATGATCGAGATATTGGTTCGAATCTTTTGAACTGTTTATTTTGAATTTATAGTCGGTTTTAATTTCAGAAAATAACGACATTTCGACGTTTTCATTGTTGGAAAATATCGAGTTTCGATCCTGGGAGCCAATCCTCCTTGGTCAATTTGGAGCAAGTTGAAAAATTCAAAATGGCCGCCAAATTGAAAAATTCAAAATGGCCACCATGTAATTCAGCCAGCATACCCAAAACCTAATCAGATCTTGGCACTAGTCTGCTCTTGCATCTGTAAAAATTTCAAGTTGAACGGATAAGTGGTTTTCCTGGAATTTTGATGACAAGATTTGTTGAAAAATTCAAGATGGCCGCCACGTAGTTTACCCAGCATGCCCTTAACCTAATCAGATCTTGGTACTAGTCTGCTATTGCATGTGTAAAAATTTCAAGTTGAACAGGTTAGCGGTTTTCTTGGAACTTTGATGACAAGAATTGATTTGTAGTCTCAAACTTTGAGAAACTTGGATAACATCATTTGTGACCTAGTTTAATGACCTTGACCTTCGACCTTGAAAATTTCACTTTTTCAGACCTCAGTAGGTGTTTTGTAATTAAGCTGACCTAAATTTAAATCCAAAATATCAATTTAGAAAATCAACTTTTTTGACCTTTTCAAGGTCACTGAAGGTGAACGAAAGGTCAAATCTGAAATCTAAGGTCAGATTTGAACTTCTGAGAACTTGTAGATGTTTTTTTAAAAAAAAGTTGGTCAATTTGGAGCAAGTTGAAAAATTCAAAATGGCCGCCAAATTGAAAAATTCAAAATGGCCACCATGTAATTCAGCCAGCATACCCAAAACCTAATCAGATCTTGGCAATAGTCTGCTCTTGCATCTGTAAAAATTTCAAGTTGAACGGATAAGTGGTTTTCCTGGAATTTTGATGACAAGATTTGTTGAAAAATTCAAGATGGCCGCCACGTAGTTTACCCAGCATGCCCTAAACCTAATCAGATCTTGGCACTAGTCTGCTATTGCATGTGTAAAAATTTCAAGTTGAACAGGTTAGCGGTTTTCTTGGAATTTTGATGACAAGAATTGATTTGTAGTCTCAAACTTTGAGAAACTTGGATAACATCATTTGTGACCTAGTTTAATGACCTTGACCTTCGACCTTGAAAATTTCACTTTTTCAGACCTCAGTAGGTGTTTTGTAATTAAGCTGACCTAAATTTAAATCCAAAATATCAATTTAGAAAATCAATTTTTTTGACCTTTTCAAGGTCACTGAAGGTGAATGAAAGGTCAAATCTGAAATCTAAGGTCAGATTTGAACTTTTGAGAACTGGTAGATGTTTTTAAAAAAAAAAATTGGTCAATTTGGAGCAAGTTGAAAAATTCAAAATGGCCGCCAAATTGAAAAATTCAAAATGGCCACCATGTAATTCAGCCAACATACCCAAAACCTAATCAGATCTTGGCAATAGTCTGCTCTTGCATCTGTAAAAATTTCAAGTTGAACGGATAAGTGGTTTTCCTGGAATTTTGATGAAGAGATTTGTTGAAAAATTCAAAATGGCCGCCACGTAGTTTACCCAGCATGCCCTTAACCTAATCAGATCTTGGTACTAGTCTGCTCTTGCATCTGTAAAAATTTCAAGCTGAACAGGTAAGCAGTTATCCTGGAAATTTGATGACAAGATTTGGTTTATGTCCCGCCCGCCCGCCCGCACGCCCGTACGCCCGCACGCCCGTACACCCAAACGCCCGCACGCCCGTACACCCAAACGCCCGCCCAACAGCACAAGACGACGACAATATAGCACTTTTTCAAAGTGCGATAAAAATATATTATCTTTTGTCATTTTTATTTAACTCGACAAAAGTTTGATTGTTAATTGACTGTATAACCATTTCATAAACTTCCTCAACCATTTGCAAAAAGAAAATAATGCCAAACAACATAGAATTTAACTACTCTAACCTAAAGACCTCATTCAAGGAAACAAATAATGTGTTTTTCCATGAAATGTATTATAAAAATAAGTGTATTTCACAGCCTCAGGTGGGTAATAACACTTTCCTCTTAAGACTTAAGGTGTTTTGCAAAAATTGTTTTCATGCTGGTGTCAATATGCTGCTAATAATCCAATAAATATGTCTTTTACCATATGACAGTAATATGCAAACCACTTAGACACGCAACTCAGAATTGTTTTGATTTTAAATAAAATCTGGCTGTTATAAAACCTGCAATAGGGGAAGTTAACCTGAAAAACTAATTATACATAGCTGTAAATGTTTTTGTTTTGTTCTGTGTCTAACCCTAAGTGTCTAATTCAAAGCTAAGTGCATACAAGTTTGTATTTAAAAGGCATTAACATGTCAAATGTCACCGCCTGCCATTTGTTACAGATGCTGACCGGTGAAGGCTAAATGCCAAATGCCAGCAACCGAACGCAGAACACCATACACAAAAAGTTGGAGACAATAACAATATGTCATTACTTGTGGTGGTGACATAATAACCAAATATTAGTTGTCACACCATACACAATATGTTATGTCACCACTTGTAATAATAACCAAATATTAGTTGTCTTTGAAGTGAGAGTCATCTACATAACATTTTTAAAACTAATTTATTGGCCAAATTGATACACAGCCCCACAAAGTGGTTGAATTTTAAAATCACCCTTTTAAAATCATCACTACTTGTGTATTGGAATCATGCCTTTGAAAAATGATGTCAGTAGTTGACTCAAAGCTGTATTTTATCTAAATAACCACTAATCCAGCTTAATTTCAACTGCAAGATTTCAATACACAAGTGGTTGAAAAAGCAACCCAATATTTATGGGGGTAAGATTAATACACAGCCCAACATGCCAAGATTTACTTATACATCAATAATATGGATTATCTTCCTTTTTCTAACCTTCCTCTCTCTGAAGTGAGTGCATCGATTTCATCAAAAAAGATTATAGATGGCGCAGCTGCCCTTGCTTTACGGAAAAGTTCACGCACAGCTCTCTCTGATTCTCCGACCCATTTGCTGAACAGTTCTGGACCCTGAAATAGAAGATTACATTTAATTTTAACAATATAATAAATTAATAATAGCAAGATAAATTACATGAAGCTTTGTGGGATCACCTTGGAAAAGTTTCCATTCTCAGACAGGGTTCGAATCACTTTTCACTCTTAGAGATATATGTGGAAAAATGAGTTACCTATTGTGCAATGGACTGGATATTAGTACTGAACTCTGTTCCCAGAAAAAAGACAGATGTTATAAACCAGAATAAATGAGATCAAGGATGACGTTAATGGTAAGTTACAATTATATTGATCAAGTTTTATAAGATGAGTCATAACTCATAAATAATGAATAAAAGACATAACATAAGGACCAAGTCAAACATGAGTTTTCCTCAAAGGTAATAATAAGTTGAGCCTGGCTTTATTATTGACGACATTGAACACTGAATGGGGAATAATGTAACTTCTGTATTTAACTAAAACATAGGAACTTCACGGAATAGCAAATCTGTGACTCTCACAACACTTCAAGCACAATCATTTATAGCTAAATGTCAACAATCATAGCATAAGAAATTAACAGCTTATATCTAGTTTTAATAATGAGAAATCCTTTAAGGCTTTCTTGAACTTGAACCCTTATGTTATTATTATTATTAAAGAAATGATACTCGTTGTTAGACGTATGAACTACTAATATGACCAGAGGCTAAAATGCGACAGATATAATTTTTAAATAAAGAGGGCAGAGCAAAAACCTATGAATATGACCTTTATACATTTCCTTGAAGATTGCATTTTCTTAGAACACTTGGAACATTTTCTTACAAGGCCTCCAAGCAGGTCTAACAAATAGCTCACCCCGCCCACACTAAGGCAGGATGAAACTCATCAATTCCTTCTCTCAATTTCTGTGTATTATATGATAAGCATAAGTCCACCTGCTATGGCTCAGTGGCAGAGTCAAGGTTACCATCATCGCTTGGCCCCGGGTTTGAATCCTGGTTCAGACAAGTTTGTTTGTGAGTTATGTCTCATTCAGCGACACAGATAGGTAGAAAATAAAATTTTTGACTAAGTGACAAAATTAGGTAAAGTATTATTTTTTGCACTCAAAAACACAAATAGGTAGATTATGAGTTTAGCACCAAATTATTCAAAAAATATAATTTGCACTCAGTTACACAAAAAGATAAAGTTCAGTCAGAATGAGCCTAAATGCGTGCGTTCAGAGGGATTTTACTGGACATAATTTTTCATTTTGCTAGTATGATTTCACATATTTGTATGAATTATTAGATCCTAGTTTTTCAGCTTTTAGATTTTGTGGCCATTTTAACCCCCATGGGCTATAATTTTCAAATTGCTATGGTATATTGGTATGGGCTAAATGAATATATGATAAAAATTTCAAATCACATGGTTAAGTGGTTGCCATGGAAGTGGACAAAACATACCCTTCAGGTGTCAATTTTCAGGCCAATTTTTCAGGAAAGATAGAGTCATTTTGTGCATATTTTGTCACCAGTGTGTTCGGAAGGGTTGAAATGTGAATAGAAAACGTCTATAATATGTTAGCAACAATCTTATGTAAAGATTAGTCCACAGAATCTCAGATTTTGGCCTTATATGGGTCCATGATTTATACAGGGGCCTATTTCACAGATTCGAACCCCCACATTGGATGGATGCTATAACTTTTGAAATAAGGGAGATACAGGTCTCATTTTTTCCGTTCTTCGTAAATGGCTGGTTTTAAGTATTGTATCATACTTTGGGAGCTGGTATATGATTGGTTGCCATGGTAACCAGGGTTTTAGGGAAATTCTGACCCCCTCATTGGATGGATGCTATAACTTTTGAAATAAGAGTGATGCATGTCTCATTTTTTCAGATCTTAGACAATGATTGATTTTAAGTATTAAATCAGACTTTGACAGCTGAAATTTGATTGGTTACCATGGTAACTAGGGTTTTATTGAAATTCAGACCTCCACAATTGATAAATGCTATAACTTTTGAATTCAAGCAGTTACAGATATCAGCTTTTCAGAACTTAAAAGATAATTAGACTTGTGTATTGTGTCAGACTTTGGAGGTTACAATTTATTTGGTTGCTATGATAACCATGTTTCATTGTCATGGAAACTTCATTTTTAATTTCCGATTTACCTTCATTTGAGAATGGTCAAGACACAACATAAAACGCTCAAAATTATCATTTTACTCTTAATTTCAGCATTTTTACATGTATGTCTGACAGTATTGCCTCATTCCATTCTACTAATTCTCACACATATTCTACTCCTAACTTGTTTTTACTCATCATTATAGTTTTCATCTTCCACAATGGTCTCTTAATTTAAAATATCAACAATTTCAACAAGGATTCTTTTGACCATTGGAGTGTTAAGGATTCCTCGGGGAATTCATAATTCAATCATGCAGTGTTTGGCTTGGTAGAGCTGGGTTTAGGCTGGTGGGGAATGTTTCCATACACAGGTTTGATAATTCACCCTCTTCAAATGTGAAAGAGTTGACATGTCAACACCTTCATAAGTGAGGGCAGCACTGTTCTGTTTTTGAGAATACTAGTATCTCATGTGAAACAGCTCATCTCATAATCTATTAGTGGAAGTTCTTTTTTTGTAATTCAGCTGTACTTTTGCAGGTGAACAATTCAACTTTGGATTTTATGGTATCAGGAATTTCTATATTGTTTCCTATTGAAGAAAACAACTTTAAGAATTGTTTGTCTTCAGTTTCAGTTGATTTATTCTACTTTGGTTCAGATCCAGTAACAATAAAATCCAAAGTTGAATTGTTCACCTGCAAAAGAACAGCAGAATTACAAAAATACATTTGAAACTGCATCAATAAACTATGATATGAGCTGTTCCACATAAGATATTCTCCAAAACAGTACTGCCCTCATCATTCAGATCCAGTAACACATTGAAGGCTAATATAGCTTCACACAATACTTCGTTCTAAGTTTGCAGCTACAGAGGTTTGGTTGAGCTTCTGACATTTAATGGGACAGAGTTCACATCAGTTGAGGTTCTTAAAGTTGTTTTCTTCATAATAGGAAACAATATTTGAAGAGGATGAATGACTGCTCCTAAATGTTGGAGTGAGCAATCATTACAAGGTGGAAGATATTCTACATAGCAGCTAATATAATGCAATGAATTACTTTGGAGCCAATGATGAACTCTTCACAAAAAAAAAAGTTCTACAAACCCACATTTTAATAATTTGAGAATAATATATCTCTGAATTCACATCATTTCTAAAAGTATTTTAAAGTTTCATGTTGATCACTTCCAGAATAAAATAGTTGTGTGCTTCTAAAAAGCTCTCCATAGTGACCCTTCTCCTTTTAAGATCTGATATGAGAATGCCATCCAAATTATGAGGTATGGCAATGGTCCGGCCAATTTTTCCACTTACTGGTATGAGAATGGTCTTAGAAAATATGTTACCCCTCACTTGTGGTATGGCATTGGTCTAGTATACAAGTTTTATATCCTTTATAATGTGAAGTTGTTTTGGGTTGTTTTCCTCAAAGGTCTGCCTTCTTCTCGGGGCATTAGACATTTTGAATGGCCATGTTTTTATATCTGGATATTTGATATCGCATTGATTCTATATTTGGTATGCCTTTTGGGCATTACTTTGGTTGGTATGGAAATACATTCAAATTTAACAGATTGGTATGGGAACATATTGATATCTGAGGGTTCAGCCTAGGACCCCAGCCAAATTTTATATACAGTGAACCCCCAGGGACCAGTCTTAACCCATTCTGCCAAGCCCAATACTGCATGAATGTACTAAATCCCCTGAGGATCCTCAACTCCAGAATGGTCAAAACAAGACTTCATTCCAACAGAAATGGTTGATATTTAAATCAAGAGGCAATTGTATGAGTAAAAATGAGCAAGTTAGGAAGTCAGAATATTTGTGAGAACTAGTAGTATGGAATAATGCAATATTGTCAGATATAAATATACATGTATTGTTTACCTATAGTATTTGATATTTTATGAGCCAAACAATTTTTGCCTCTCTAGTATTAATGAGTCATGAGCATGTAAATCATTTAAAATAGAAAAAATCCAAAAATTAAAAATAAAATGGCAATTTGGTATTTTATATCATGTATTGACATACAGTAAAACCTGTCTGATGGAATACCTCTCTGTAGGGAAAACCTATGAACAAGGAATGCTTTTCAAAAGAACCAAATATTTTTCCATTGACTTACATGTTAACGGACCCTCTCTGTAGGGAAAACCTGTGAACAGGGAACAAGGAACACTATTTTGGGGCAAATTATGAAAATTCACCTGTGAACAAGGAATATGGAATATTGGTGACACTGTATATTCCATTATTTTTCAGAGGTGTGAAAGTATTAAGCCAATATCTGAATATAAAAAGCTTGGATTAATATGATTGAGATTAAGATAAGCCAATGTTTACAAGATGTAGCATCCCACCCACTGTTAATTACCCTGATTTATTTTAAAACTAATACTAATCTGTTTGTTACTTATTATCATGACACCAATTCTTCCTTTCAAAAACCTAATTACATCAAATCAGTTGTGATAATCTAGGGACTGACACAATCGTTTTATGGAGATAACAGATAAGTACATGGTCATGTTGAGCATAATCTCTTTAAATCTTTTACTGATCCAACTTCTAGATTATCAATAATATAAAATAGGGTTGATGAAACTTGAAATTCAGTTCTTAGCAATATATCTCTACACATCATATCAATGATTACATCAACTAGACATCATGAGATGCTAGAAGCAGCTAAAATCAACAAGGGGAGAACGTAACCAAGTATGGAGTTGGCATTTGTACAATCAATCAATATATATATAAAAATATGCTTATTCGGCAATTTTGAGTTTGCTGAAAGTGCAGCCCCTCTCTGTAGGGAAAACCTCTGAACAAGGAAACTTTCCTCCAGTCCCAAGAGCATTCCCTGTTCGCAGGTTTTACTGTATATAGAATGAAGGTGAATCTAAAAACAAAAACGGTAGTTACCATGAAAATGAAACATGGTTACCATGGCAACCAAGTAAATCCTAACTTCCAAAGTCTAATACAATATACACATTTTATTATTATCTTATATCTGAAAAGATGATATTTGAAAGATGATATATGCCTGTATAAGTATAGCGTTTATCAATTGTGAGGTCTGAATTTCAACAAAACCCTAATTACCATGGTAACCAATCAAATACCAGCTCCCAAAGTCTGAATCAATCCTTAAAATCAATCATATATACGTATATCCCTTATTCCAAAAGTTATAGCATCCATCCAATGTGGGGGTCTGAATTTCCATAAAACCTTGGTTACCATAGCAACCAATCACCTACCAGCTCCCAAAGTATGATACAATACTTAAAACCAACCATTTAAGAAGATCTGAAAAAATGAGACCTGTATCTCCATTATTTCAAAAGTTATAGCATCCATCTAATGTGGGGGCTCGAGTGTGTGAAATAGACCCCTGTATAAATCATGGACCCATATAAGGCCAAAATCTGAAATCCTGTGGACTAATCTTTATATAAGATTGTTGCTAATATATTATAGATGTTTTCTATTCATATTTTAACCCTTCCTAACACAATGGTGACAAAATATGCATTAAATGACTCTATCATTTCTGAAAAATGGCCTGAAAATCAACACCTGAAGGGTATGTTTTATCTCTTTTCATGGCAACCGCTTAACCATGTGACATTAAATTTCTATCATATCTTCATTTAGCCCATATCAATATATCCAAGTAATTTGGATACATTCCACTGAGTATTTTTGGAGTTCTTGCCTAATTTTATAGTAGGGGTCCAAATTATAGCCCATGGGGGTTAAAATGGCCACAAAATCTAAAAGCTGAAAAACTAGGATCTAATAATTCATACAAATATGTGAAATCATACTAGCAACATGAAAAATTATGTCCCGTAAAATCCCTCTGAACGCACGCATTTAGGCTCATTCTGACTGAACTAATAAAATATGAAGTTTGCACTCCCAAATATGGTGCACATGTACCTTGATAGAGAGGAAGTTGAGGCCACTCTCAGTAGCCAAAGCCTTGGCTATCATAGTCTTAGAGCACCCTGGAGGTCCATACATCAGGACACCTCTGGGGGGTTGGATACCCAAGCGTGTGAATGCCTCAGGGTGAGTCAGTGGCCATTCTACAGCCTGGCGAAGTTTCTGCTTCAAGGAGGCTTGACCACCTATATCAGACCATAGAACCTAGAGAGCAAATGATGAAATTAATATAATACCATATGGAAATGTACTACAAAAAGGTTAATGAGATATAGACATAGATCATGTTAAATGTTCAACTTTTACAAAATACTTGTAAAGGTGTATCTTGCATATATTGGGCTTTTAACATGAAGATGTAGACTTCCGTAATTGTGACCTAATATAATTAACATGCAACCATTCAAAGGTTGGCCCAAATAGGCCTATTTACTTAAAAAATATATATCATAATGAACAAATTATCAACTTGATATAGGTACCAAAGGAGATCCACTTACACAGGGTTTACTGTATATGCAACAACACACATTGTGTCCTCACCCCCCCCCCCCCGAGACCCACCTTAGGCACATGCACAGCGACCTCCCTCATGGCACTTGGTTGTACTGTCTTCATGGCCTGCTTCAAGTCAGATACCTCTAACATTACATCACCTTCATAGTTTCCCCCAACGTCAACCTCCCCTAGATGTCTCTTTAAAGCCAACAGACCAGCTAGAAGTGAAAATAATGTTTACAATTATTTCTTGGAGGAGACCTAGATTTGGGTGATTACATTACAGTAATTGTATTTTAAGCACAGTGACTTCCTGAAACAATGTGTTATCAACTTTCAGATTAAGCGCATTATTTTCCTGGAAGTGGATTTAGCAAACTATCAATCTTCATGATTATGTATGCTTATATTGAATTCAGTAGATATTTTCCTGACAATGTTCGCCAAAATCAGATTTAGCACATTATTTTCCTGGAATTACAAAGGAGGATTAAGGAAATTATCTTCCTGACTATGTGTAATGACCTTGGACATTATTCTCCTGATCAAACTACCTGAAATCAGATTAAGCACATTACCTTCCTGGCAGAGAGATTTCAGGTCAGATCCCACATATCCATGGGTGCAGTCAGCGATCATCTTACATTCCTCTGTGCCCACATTGTGCTTCACACCTCTCAGCATTTTACTTAGAATCTGCAATCAGCAAATTGAGAATCTTAAAATATTGCCAGTACAGGTAAATGTGATATACTACATGGGTGTAACCAGGCACGAGGTAAAAAAAATTACTGGTCATCTTGAAAAGTTCTTGTGTACAAATCATATATTTCTAAGGCATCAATAAACAAAACTTGAGCTACATTTGTCAACTGGCATTAAAGCAGTCAGAGAATATATTCTTAACAAAAATGGTGGCTATTCTGAATGGAGCGGTCATATTGAACTGGTATTTGAGTTATTGCCTGGACAGATGTACAGACGAACTATGTGTCTTGGGATAATAACAAAAGTAAATGTATGACATGACCAATGGAAGGAAATCTATCTTAAGGTTAATTAAATCGCTCCCAAATGAGTGCTCATTCAGTGAATTTAGGAGCATAACTTATTTATTATGTAGTACATTGAAACCTGCATAAGTGGAACACATATGGTTCTCAAAATAATCTTCCCTCTATGGAAGTGTTCCACTTTACAGGTTTAACTCAGGGTGAGAAATAAGCACTGGTTACAAGTGGTCCTGATCAGTTTCTTTTGGTCTGGACCAGCTTACTTTTTCAGCATGTACAATGTTACATTGCAACTGATCCAAAGTTCATCTTTGACAATCATGTCTAAAATCCTTATAACTCACTCTGATTTAACTGTACAGTGTAAATATCACCCTGATTTCTATGAAATGCATTATATTACTTTCAATTTGCGGCAATGAGATGAATCAAAATAGAAATGGAGCATCCCTGCCAAATGCCCTAGCCCTCAGATACATCAAAATATGGATATTACCTGATTTCTATGAAATGCATTATATTACTTGCAATTTGTGGCAATGAGATGAATCAAAATAGAAATGAGGCATCCCTGCCAAATGCCCTCAGATACATCAAAATATGGATATTACCTGATTTCTATGAAATTCATTATATTACTTGCAATTTGCGGCAATGAGATGAATCAAAGTAGAAATGGGGCATCCCTGCCAAATGCCCTCAGATACATCAAAATATGGATATTACCTGATTTCTATGAAATGCATTATATTACTTGCAATTTGTGGCAATGAGATGAATCAAAATAGAAATGGGGCATCCCTGCCAAATGCCCTCAGATACATCAAAATATGGATATTAACTGATTTCTATGAAATGCATTATATAACTTGCAATTTGCGGCAATGAGATGAATCAAAATAGAAATGGGGCATCCCTGCCAAATGCCCTCAGATACATCAAAATATGGATATTACCTGATTTCTATGAAATTCATTACAATGTATATTACTTGCAATTTGCGGCAATGAGATGAATCAAAGTAGAAATGGGGCATCCCTGCCAAATGCCCTCAGATACATAAAAAAAATATGGATATTACCTGATTTCTATGAAATGCATTATATTACTTTCAATTTGCGGCAATGAGATGAATCAAAATAGAAATGGGGCATCCCTGCCAAATGCCCTCAGATACATCAAAATATGGATATTAACTGATTTCTATGAAATGCATTATATAACTTGCAATTTGCGGCAATGAGATGAATCAAAATAGAAATGGGGCATCCCTGCCAAATGCCCTCAGATACATCAAAATATGGATATTACCTGATTTCTATGAAATTCATTACAATGTATATTACTTGCAGTTTGCGGCAATGAGATGAATCAAAGTAGAAATGGGGCATCCCTGCCAAATGCCCTCAGATACATAAAAAAATATGGATATTACCTGATTTCTATGAAATGCATTATATTACTTTCAATTTGTGGCAATGAGATGAATCAAAATAGAAATGGGGCATCCCTGCCAAATGCCCTCAGATACATCAAAAAAATTTGGATATTACCTGATTTCTATGAATTGCATTGGGGACAGGGATCTCTATCTCTCTATCAAACTTGCCAGGTCTTCTTAGGGCTGGGTCCACTTGCTCCACTTTACTGGTAGTACCTAACACAACCACCTCTGCTCCTTTGCCCTTTAATATTACAAAATATGTGTCAAAATCAACAGCATGCCCTCTATAGTAAAAAGTTTAGATACATAAATAGCATGTACATCCAAGGTGGGTTTATCATAACCATGTTGGAATCCAGGATGGGTTGGACACTTTTCTTAATAAAAATGTGCCTATTAGGGTTGGTCTCGTGACACTGTTTGACCTGTATTATATTTGACCTATAAGTTGAATAATATCCTTTTGAATTAGTACAGCGCATGTATAAGCTAGTCACTGCCAGATGACTATTAATTTATCTACATTAGTACTGAAACAAAACCAGACTTATTGAAGAGTTACTCTTGTTTGGTATATTTTCATTTTAGAAATCACATTCTAAAGAATTACCTTATTCAATCCTTCGATAAGTGACACGAGGCAGGTGACAATACGTCTGTCAGTCTCATTTTGGGATGATTTCCGGGAACATATAGCATCCACATCATCGATACAAACAATGGAGGGTGCCTTAGATATTGCTTCAGTAAATGCTGTTTCAAGTTTTGATTGAGATTCCACAGGGTTCCTGGAAGAAATTACAATAATTTTAATAATTTTGAATTTTTAATTAAAATATAAAAAGAATCAATTGTCCTCGTTATTGTGACATTAAATAACATGCAAAAAAATTGTTTAAAAGCATAGCAGAATTGAATATTTGAACTGAGATGAGGAATCAGAGGGAGATCTACAAAATGGCAACTCACAGAGTAGCAAATCCCAGCGAACAGTTATACATCAGAGATATATGAGAATGTCCACCAATTTAAGGGCAAACTGACTGACAGACAGATGGACAGATGGCTTCACTATTTCCTTATCAAACTTTGTTTGTTGGGATAATATTCAGAATATCCTGAAGAGGGGACTGAGATGGATGTGAGAATACTAACTTGCTCCATATATAAGCTGCATTGATGATGACTGAATGGATATTAAGGTCGTTACAAAGTGCCTGGATGACTGAGGACTTTCCTGAGCCTGGTGCACCATACAGCAACGCACCCCTTGGAACTGACAAACCTGGAAAGAATACAGTAAAATAAGTTCAGTACAGTATAACTCATGAAGTGGAAGATATCCAAAAGGGGAAGATCTCTGAAAGTCCAGGTAATGTACAAGTGAACCTCTGTAAGTGGAACACCTCCAAAATGAAACATTACTTTTGTAACAGACATTTCACCTTTAATTATATAAGATATAAAGTCCAAATGTAAACAATAAACAGTTGTGGAAAAAACCCAAAGTGGATTTCATTAGGGGTGGTAAATTGAAGATTTTAATCATTTAAAATATTGAATTTTGATCCTGGGACGTAAAAAGCAAATCATTACATTTTCATTCTGAAGCATACTACAAGGTGTCCAAAATACAGGACCAAAGAAAAAATTGATTAAATTAATCAATCTTGCATATTCTGCCTTGAAATTTCAAAATTATTAGGTCATTCAATGTGAAATTTGTTGTGAAAGTTTGATGATAATCTGCACATTGACTCAAGATTGACAGATTAATCATCTTTTCTTCAGTCCTTTTTTTGGACACCCTGTACTCTGTAAAGATTTGATGGTGTTGCATTTTCACAAATATCATGTTACGTTCATTTGACCTTAGACCTCCATTTTGTTGTAATATATCAGAAATCATTCAATAAATTCAAAAGATACTTTTTTAATTAATTTGCTTTGTTCAAATGTATACACATTTCAGTACTGCCAAATATTACAAAACATATCTAGTTATTCAACCATTAATAATTATACATGTAATTTAACTTGATTTTGATTACCTAGTGATTTAAACACATGAGGATGCTTCAGAGGTAGTTGGATCAGCTCTCGTATCATCTCAATCTCTGCATCAAGGCCTCCTATATCTTCTAGAGTCACAGACTAGAATGTTGGAAGAAAGAATTTTTATGACAAATGTATGATTAATGATTAGAGTACATATACAGTGTTGTGTAATACATGATAAAATCAGGTTGATGCTTTATAAGTATTTAAACTATGAAAACAAAGGAAGGAACAGGTGATATACAGAAGTACAACAGGTATTTAACTTATTTGATGATTTAAATTGAATGTCAAGTTTCTAGTGGTATGACGTGGGCCTAGCCAGGGGGGAGGTGCAATGAATGCAATTGCAACCCCCCGCCCCCACAAAAACATAAAAACATGGTACCCTGTGGACTTACATCTTGTGTTTTCATACCTGATTAAGGTACAAGAATAAAGAAACAAGACACAGGGTGAACAGGGTTGCACCCTTGAATAGACAGTTTTTTGGACGGAAAACTCAAAATGGCCACCCTTACATTTACCCAGACTGCCTGAAAAACTCATCAGTTCTAAACTTTCATATGTAGAAATATTCCTAAAACTTTCAGATGAATCCATGAAACAGTTTGGCTGGAAACCTGTATATTAGCCTCAACAATCAAGATTTAAGGATGGAGAATCCAAAATGGCCACCTTCGCATTTACTCAGAATGCCAAAAAACTATTATTGTTTATAATAATAATACAACAATTAAATATCTTCCATAAAAATAAGGGTTATGAACTGGGAGGTTTTGGATATGGGGTTTACCCAGAGGGAGATGTGCATATCTACCTAAGGGACTGTAGGTAGATGTGCATATCTCATGAGGGATAAGCCCCATATAACATAACTGTTTTATCCTATACCCAGTACAGTAGTTTTCTAAGTTTTTATCAATTTTCTTTCTTTTTTCACATTTTTTCCAAATATATGAAGATATATAAGAAGATATGCCCTGGAGCGGGAGATATGGAGGTTCTGGCTATGGAAACCTCACAATCAGGATACAGGATATATCTTAACAACTTATCTCTACTTAAAACTCTACTTGGCATAGGATAAATCAAGTTTCAGTGACTGTATTTGAAGTAAACAAAGTTAGTTTAACCTAATAGTTTAGTGTGCTACAATAATGAATTCCAAGCATACTTTACCATTATATAGTGAAAATCAGGATATTAAAGATGGGCGACAACAAGAACAGCTCCCTTTCTAAGAAGCATATTACGGTAAAAATGTATTTGTACATTTTAGTTATCATTACATTGAGGAGGTTCTTGAACAGTTGAAATAGAATCAGAAGCACAGGTTTTAGCAACACATCATTTTGTAACATGATTTTCTAATGTTATATTCCAATTGTACAGATTTGTTTACAGATGAGAGATCTTTCTATTACTTGGCTAAGGAAGCTACTAACAGCGCAAAAACTCTATGACATTAATAACGATGGATATGTAGACTATCAGGATTGCATGACAATAGCCGACAGATTAATAAAATATGGTAATAAAATATGGTAAAAATGGTACTTTGCAAAACATAAAATACAAGGCAGGGATTTCTCTAAAACAGGCTAAATACATTGTTAATGAAAGAACACAAATGTGTACAATATGTCCCCACCAATGGGTGATCCTGTCAAATGGTTATCCTGAAAATGAGTAGGCAAGACTTTACTGTTACAATTTTGGGACGGAAAATGCAAAATGGCCACCTTAAAATTTACCCAGAATGCCAAAAAATAAGTCAACTCTAGATTTTGATACTAAGAACCATCCCTGAAAATTTGAAATTGATCCGTCAAACAGTTAACCAGAAAATGCGAAACTAGACTTTACAGACCAGATTTTAGGACGGAAAAATCCAAAATGGCTGCCTTGACATTTGCCCAGAATGCCTAAAAACTAATCAGTTCTAGATTTTCATACATGTACTAAGAATCATCCCTGAAAATTTGATATTGATCTACCAAACAGTTCACCTGAAAACGCGTAGACAAGACTTTACAGAGAAGATTTTAGGACGGAAAATCCAAACGGAAAATCCAAAATGGCTACCTTGACATTTACCCAGAATGCCAAAAAACTAATCAGATCTAGATTTTCACACTAAGAATCATCCCTGAAAATTTGAAATTGATCTACCAAATGGTTCACATGAAAACGTGTAGACAAGACTTTACAGACAAGATTTTAGGATGGAAAAATCCAAAATGGCCGACAATAAAAAAACGATTATTAGTTTTTGCTGATTTCTTTTTACAAAAAAAATTATCACATATAACTACTGTTAACAATAACATAGGCTTTTACAGCAAAATACACCTGAAATTATTTATAAAGCTACTAAATAGTTTAAGTATGAAAACTCAAAAACACCGTTCAATATGATACAAAGTATTATCGAGCGCTAACTTTTCTTAAGACATTCAAAATGGCTGACATGACTGAGCTAACAGGTCCAAAACCTAATCAGATGTAGAATGAAGTAAGCTGAACAAGATGTTAAAGTTTTAAAAGCAACCGTGAAGCCATTTTTCTTTAAGTTTGCAGACAAGGATTTTAGCATTTGACTTCAAAATGGCCGACAGGAAGTAGGTATCAAGCTGAAAGTTTTTCGTCCAGATCTGTATGCACTCATAAGTTATCCTTGAAACCTTGAAGGTGATATCTGTAGCAGTTTTGGAGAAAACTGCCGGACGTACGGACGGACAGACAGACGGACAGATGGACGCGCCTAGGCCGACAATATGGCCCCACACTATGTGGTGGGGACATAATAAAAACAACAGGCAAAATTATGGAAATCATAGGATAAGTTGAAAAGTCCCTGAAAACCATCCTCCGATCACAGGACTTCAAAATCCAGAATATATTCTTTCTTTTTACCCCCTGCGATAAGCAGTTAGCATTTCCCCGATTAAGAACTCGCAATCTGATTGGCTGTCGCAACACTGCGACAGAAATCATGTATAAGTCACTGCGCATAATTAGATGACGTGATTCAGTTTAAGTGGGCGCTTCCAAATTGGTTATAGCAGGGGGAAGAAGGAGGTACGGATTCTGGATACCTGCTTAGGAGGATGCTAAAAACAACAAGCGATTTTGTGAACCAGTGAAAGTAGCCTGTTATCTACTGCTAATGAAACCCCTGCAAGCGGCAACACATCGAGGAATACAAACTCAATAAAGACCAATGAACCAAATCAGTTAGAATAAATTCCTTTTTTTGCCATATTGGAAATAGCCTGGCTGCCTGGGCTTTCAAGAAAAAGAACGCTTTCTTAAGAGACCATGGAAATTTCATTTTGACAGAAATTTGTTAAAAATTTCATTCTCCTGCTCTTTTTATCTTATATGGCAGAATAATGCTAGTTTTTATGTGTTATTTCTCATTTAAAATGAATTTATTCCTGACCTTTCCCTGACCTTTGGGCATGCAAAAATCAGGATATTAACACTAAATTTATCAATATGAATGCATGACTCAACCCCCATTGGACAACAAAACAAAATACAGTTTGACACACTTAGCTTCAGTCATTTGCATCAACTGTGCTTTCCTTGTGCAAACTTTCATGTCTGTTTTGTTAGGTAAACTCAAGGGAAAAGCTGCAGATGAAGTCATTGAGTTTTTCCAATCGTATGGATCAGGCTCAAAGGCAGGGGCTAAATCTGAAGTAATGGCTGCAACAGGCATAGTACAGCAAATGTTAGCGTTATGGGAAGCTAAAGATAATCCAGCTGCAACTGAACGATTTCAGTCTAAATACTCCAGTATGTTCAAGGTGAACCTTTACATATTTGAGTAGAATTGGACTTCACTTCTCAAAAGAGAGCTTCGTCTTCATGTGTTCCTATCAGCTCGCTGATTGGTGAAGAAAAGGGTCAGATTGATAGGTCTGAAATTATTTATGACCCAAGCTGTCATGGGCATAGGTCTTGGGGGCAGGGCTGCTAAACTGTAATATAGTCTATACCAGACAGAGGGTAGTTTATAACTAGACTCTGTGCACAGGGTACCTGTTTTAAATCATTGATTTCTGATCAGTTTGTCATATCAGTAAGCAATGTATTCAAACAAAAAAGTCTGGTCAAGATTATTTATCAAATAAAGATTTGCAAGCAGTGAAGACCTTTTTTTATCAAGCCTCATATATATTTTTAGGATGATGAATTTGTTCTGCATTGTTTTTAGATATGTGATTTGAACTCCTCTGGTTTCATGACATTTGACGAATACTTGGTCTTCTGGTGTGTTTTCGGCATTGACCCACGCTTTGCAAGGATGCAGTTTGACTACATGGATTAAGATGGCGATGGAAAGATATTAGAGGAAGAATTTGTTGTGGCTGCCATGGATTATGTTTGTAACACAGACTTGGACACACCTAATCGCTTTTATGGACCATTGCTTCATTATTAAAATTCTGCTGGAAATATATATTCTCAGCTTTCATCATTAGTACATTTCAGTGATGTCCCCAGCATTAAAGTAGCACCCACCTAAGATTTTAAAAACAGGCTTGCATCCCCCTGAAAATGCATTTGCACCAACGACTTGAAAATGAGAAAAATCATGAAGAATGGGCATATTTTGACCAATTTAAGTGTGAATTGTGAAAATGAGAATTTTGCACACTTGAGGAAAAATCCTGGAAAGATCACTGCATGTATATTACATCAGGTTAGCAGTGTTTATAGTAAGATGTCATTATATGAAGAAGACACAGAATGTGTACACAGAAACACACCCTTGAATAGAATACACTTTTCAGGACAGAAAATCCGAAATGGCCAACCTATTACCAGGGGTGTCATAAGAATTTCTCACAACAGGCTAATTTAATGAAATTAATGGAAATCATAAATTTATGTATAAACCAATACAATACAATATTTCCTGTTTACATTTTCCCTAATTTATGTAAGTTTATTTCTCACTTACCCCCGTATCAGCATTCACTTCATCTTCATCCGCATCCCCATCTTCTTTGCCATCCAGCATCAACTTTGTCTTACTTGTTATTTTGTAAAACTTATTGCACTTTTGTCCTGTAGATGTAGTCCTTTTAATATTTGGAGTGCAGAATTGTGATTTCATATTTTCACTTGATTTCGGGGTCGAGACCAAGAGGTCCCTATCGTCTGACCTCTGGCTCTGGCTGTCATTATTGCATTTTGAGGGAGTCGATGTTAGGTTATTTACCGACTCACTATCATTCAAATCTATATTTTCGACACTTTTTGATAATAATGACACATCCCCACTGTTACAATCCAAAGATGACAGGTCACTCTTAGTTTGCTCAGATGAAACTGACAGGTCCCTATATTGAGATATGGTCCCACTAAGGTACTGTTCTGATGAGATTGACAGGTCCCTGAGCTGTTGAGATTCTGCTTCGTTGTTAGTATGTTCTGATGACGCAGGTCCCATTATAGCCTGTACAACCAAACTGACATTCTGCCCATAGTATTTGATTGCTAGAGAAGATCCAATAGTCACATACGCACCAACTGAAAATATGAAATGTAAGGGTTTTGTAGCCGAGATATGGGATATGGAGTATGAAAAGAGAAAACAAGGCATTAACATGACAGAATATCACAACCTTGAAATTGAAAATTGTTACAAATTCTCCAAACACCGACTACCAACTGTCCATTTTTGGTCCATTATTATGATCACCAACTTTTTAGTGACAGCGGTTAGTTCACATGTATAATTTACATACATTTAAGAGATGGAACCCATAACCCAAACTGGCAACCAAATATCTTTTTAATACATTACTTAAATCCATCAAGTAGAAATAGAGTTTTTAATGTTGAAAGAAATCTTTTCAAAAACATATACTATTTTCATTTTCTAAAAAAATGCAATTTGTATTTGATCAAATTTAGTTGCAGATAATATCCAAAGTCATGAGAATTTAAAAGGGGTTGCCCTAAAAAAAGATGTTCTCAATACAAAAATACTGTTATCGATTTTAAAAATCTAAATAGGCCATTTCAGCATTCAACAGGGCATCATAAATATCACCATCTGGCCAAATCACACAGTATTAGAGAGTGAAAATGTATCTACCTGTAAGTTTCTTAAAACGAATTATCGAGTGGACTTGTCCCAAATCTATTTGATAACATGCAATTTATACATGTATCTAAGATATTTTGCATACATGAATGCGTGGAGAAAAGCAATATCTAGTATGTACATTATGTAATATAGAGAATATTCCATGAAAATTACTTTTTTTACATGGATTCGAAAACTTTCAAGATCCTTCACATATTACCTAGACTATGTATGGCAATATTCGGGAGTGAAAAGTGTAAGTCTCTTCAGATGTTGCCGAGGAAACAAATCACTTAGATATGTATTATATGAGATATTACCTAGACTGTGTATGGCATATTTCTGAAACTCTACTGCACTTGCTTCACTGCAACTGAAACAATAATATACAATTATTGACCTCTCCAGAGGTTTACTGTCAAAATTATATCCCGAGACTGTAAACCGAGACCGTAGGTCGAGGTTTACAGTCGAGGGATATAATTTTGACAGTAAACCGAATGGAGAGGTCTATAATTGTTTTGTTAGTCCGAAGAATATCTTGATTTTTCTGACTCTTGAAGTTGACTTGAAGTTGGATCCAGACCCTCGAGACGTTCATGTTGTATTTCAGTATATCGGCAGTAAGTTCACTCAATGGAGTCAAATTACTCTCCTGGGCGAAGTTCACTAAAAGCTTTGTACAAAGTTTTAGATTTTTCTTCGTATTTTGACTGTCTTTACTCTCTAAGAGACTAATAATATCCTCATCTTCAACATTTTTGAAACGGCTAGTGCTAGCGGCGGCCATTTTATCGTCTGATAATGACGTCATTTTAGTGGAATGCTGGGAATATTATTCACCGGCAATGCATTGCGCGGTGTACAATTAAAATTATTCACCGCTCGTTGACCAATCAAAATCGAGTATTTCAACTGAGGTACTAACAAAAGAAATTATGTGACTATATGGCATGTTGTTGTTCATTATGTCTGTTCACCATGGCAACTAATGCAAAAACAAGGAATAAACAAGCAAAACTGCCAAACACAAATTGCCGAACACAGACTGCAAAAAGATGGAGACCAGAACGATATGTCACCAATTTTGGTGGTGGTATAATAAATGAAAACATCAAGCAAAATAATTGAAAATTTTAAAATTAACATTAAAATTTCTTGAAAGAACATCATAAACAACCTAAGAAAATCACTTGTTATCTGTTGCTAATGAAATCACTATTAGTAGGATGGAATATAAAATATCTGAATAAGATTTGTTGAATCCCCTGGCATATGCTGCCCCTCTCTTATTCCCCTTCAAAATCTACTTTAACCTGAATTTGAAGTTGACCTGTCAGCACCTTACCTGCAACTAACAATAAGTTGGTTAGCATCTTCACATGGTGTGGGTAAACTCTCAACTGTAACTATAGTAGGCGCACCAATCTTCTCTTGAATTTCCACAGCCAATGCTGAAACAAGTAAACTGCACTTTTTGTATTGCAGTACATGTACATGACATATATATCTATATAAAGCACAAGGGTGTTTACCTATATTAACTGGTAGAGAAATGACAAAGCTTTCCTATATTAGCTGATGCCTATATTCAGGCCTATACTGTAAAAGCCCAAATATTCGCCAACCAAAATTTTCGCGCTGAAGAGCCCTTGAATTAATTTGACTTATATTACCTATATTAGGTGGTTGACTTATATTACCTAACTTACCTATTTTAGCTGGTGGGGTAGTGTCACATGGCCATACAGTATAAACGTGTCCGCCATTCAAGACCACTGGCTGACCTATTGAGAAACCTGCAAGTTTCATTGTAGAGGGGCTCATGAACACGAGGCTTTTTCTGGTTGATAGTGGCAGCTTGATGTTTTCACCTGGAAGATGTCAATATGAACTCTATATGGGAGAAGTTGAATGATCAGGGCCGGGAAACATTTGACGATTTGATCATCAGCTACAATTTTATTTTTTATTCTGGGAAGCAGTTCATATGGTTAAAATAACAAAATGATGTGATGTAACCACGTATCTACTTACCAGTATGTTCTATGTTATCTATTGGACTAAGTAAATTGTGAAACTTACCTAAACACGACATTGAAGGCAGTATTCTGAGGTTATAAAATATAGATCGAAATAATTTCCCATTTGTAGCACCTTGGAGATTTCCGGAATTTCCTTAAGTGGAGAAGTGTTGCATGATTTCAGTGTACATTTTAAAATGAGTTGTAAACCATAGATCTATTTTTTAAATGTTAAGGTTCAAATTGTATTCTTTTCAAATTATATCACTGTTAAACTATATATCTGCTTAAATGGGCTAATTAGTCTTTTGCGGATTATTGATGTAGATGTAGAAAGTAGCGAACGCAGCCCGCATAGATGACACAGAACATACTGATAAGTGGATATGGATTACATCACATCATTTGTTATTTTAACCATATGAACACATGCTATCTATTGCAAGACTTACGCCTGCCACAACCGTCGCCATGTCAATCAGTGTTTTTAAGTAGCGCAAGGATCCTGTTATCGTGGAAGCCTGGCGCGACCGTAGCCTTTATTGTGGTTTATAAGCGAAGGTGAATATTAATGTATAGTAGTTATTTTGATTTTGACATGATTAAGGTAGTTAAACACCATGCTCATAGTATTAAACTGTTTAATTGTTATGACGATCACTTAAAATTGTTAAGGATATTCCTGGCATTAATGTCATACATATTTACTAGTCATTGCAATATATTATAACGGTCATAAGTAGGACTAAGCCTGAATTTCTACATTACCACCCTCATACCTAGCCTTGCAATACTATATTACATTGTCACGGTCATACCAGGCTTTGCGATCCCATAATCACTCCCCCCAGTTTTCTGCAAGTTAAAATGCTAAATTCTGCAAGTGAAATTAGTGAATTCTGCAAGGGGAAAAGGCTAATTCTGCAGAAATTCTGCGGAAAATATCGTGATAGATATAATTAAAGCGGGAAAATTTCATGATAGTTACATAGGCAGTCACTACGTCACTACTCAATACATGCTGCCATCTAGCGACAGAAATCAAATGACGAAGTTTAAAACTTTCACTTCGCATAATTTGGTAATTTTTGGGTTATTTCTACAAGGGATTTGACTGAAAACGTGTGAAATTGTTGGGGAAATTGTTACAGGTAAGACTGACTATTCAAACTTTTGGAAAATATATCGATTCCGCGGAAAATTCCGCGGAGATTGACCAAAATAGTTGATTCTGCAATTCCGCGGGCAAAGGCAAATTCCGTCCGCGCTCTGCAAACACGGAATCCTGGGGGCAGTGCATAATACATTGTCACGGTCATGCCAGGTTTTGAAATACACATTGTCACGGTCACTTATAGCAATCATAAAGGACTAGAATTAAGATGGCAAGAGATTTTGGACAGCTGTATTTTTGGTCACGGGTATTTGCCGACCATACCATGAACATTTTATATTAAAACCAGAACAACGGCAACGCCAAAGCGTAGCGAATCCCATCGAACAGAAATGGCTGGCATTTTTACAAACGAATAGCAAATATCATAAAACAACACACCAGAAAGGCCACCATTTTCAAAATGGTTGCTCACTAGCCAAGTTGTCATCAGAAGAAATAATGTGCTTTTAATTAGCCACCTCTAAATTTTTTGAAAAATAACACACATAAAAATGGTGGCCATATTTCAAAATGGCCGACTACTCCCCAAAGTTTTATTAGACAATGTGCCATGCTTAAAGTATTCACATATCAAATATGAACAAAATCGCTCTACTACTTTTCGAGTTATAGTAAAATACGTTAAAATGGCGGCCATTTTTCAAAATGGCCACTGTCTACCAAAAGTGTCATTAGAAATAGACAGTGTGCCATACTTATGGTATTCACATACCAAATATGAACAAAATCACTCCACTACTTTTCGAGTTATAGTAAAATACATTAAAATGGCGGCCATTTTTCAAAAAAATTTTCAAAATGGCCGCCTTCTACCAAAAGTGTCATAGGACAGTGTGCCATGCTTATAGTATTCACATACCAAATATGAACAAAATCGCTCCACTACTTTTCGAGTTATAGTAAAATACATTAAAATGGCGGCCATTTTTCAAAATTTTTTTCAAAATGGCCGCCTTCTACCAAAAGTGTTTTTAGACAGTGTGCAATGCTTATAGTATTCACATACCAAATATGAACAAAATCGCTCCACTATTTTTTGAGTTATAGCAAAATTCGTAAAATGACGAGTAAAGGCCGCCATTTTTCAAGATGGCTGCCATGTGCTTCTTTAATATCTACATTTGTAGCATTATTAATGTCCTTTATAATTTTTTTACATTTAAAACATATATTGCTATTACAGTTTTACATATTACACCTAAATTACTGTAAAATCGGCACTAAAATGGCCGCCATTTTGAAATGAGCTGCCATTTTGAAAATCGGCTTTCGAGCAGAACTTCTACCCCCATAGGGTATATGTATACAAAATATGAACAAAATCGGGCCAACGGTATTTGAGTTATTGCCCGGACGGACGGATGGACAGACGGACAGACAGACGGACGGAGGTACGTACGGACGTACGTACGGACGGACGGACGGAGGCGTTCCCTATATCCCTCCGAACTTCGTTCGATGGGATAACAATATCTTGACTTCAACAAATGTGCCTGAAAAAAATAAAAATCTCATTTTAATAATGAGATTAGCCATGGATTAGTAAGCCACCTTCAATAATATTGACCTTATTAGTGAAAAAGATGACCAAGATTTTTCATATTTTTTTGCAACATAAGATTACACTTTAAGGTAGCATTCACTTCATATAAGGGCATGTGGATTGAAAAGTTAATATGAAAGTTACATGGGAATGAGGATTATCCAATGGGAAATCCCATGTTATGGAGTTCGCCCTGTCCATCTTTGAAAGTTCTGTTTACCCATCTGCCATCTTTGAGAAAATCGATGCATTAATGAAGGAACATTTGTAAATGTATGTATGTGTTGACAGCTAATGAATGCATGACAGTTTGCTAGGTCATGGGAAACCAATATAATCCATTATTTATGTGAGGGGATTTAATTCAATACCAGAGTATCCAATGAGGCATGAACATAATAACATTGACTGACTTATACTGGACCTATGAAAAACTGATGTACAGTAAAGCTATGTATGAATGTGAAAATGTATGAAAAGGGGATGGATTATGAAACTGATTTTGGTAACAGTTCCACAATTTGTAATCCATTTTTCAATCTCTGACACTACCACATGTGCTATTCTGACATTACAATACCACATTTGTTACTCTGCCATTGCAATACCACATGAATTTCTCTACATTGTAATATCACAAGAGTTACTCTGATATTGAAATACCGCATGATTTACTCTCACATTGTAATACCACAAGAGCTACTCTGGGGAAAGTTCAATTGAGTCTCATTAGATACCAATGAAAAATAAAATGATCCATTGAAATTTACGAGTATGTGATTCTGTTGTCCTATTGAAGTTTTCAAGACTCAGTCAGATTTTGTAGTACTGAGACTCCACTGGCAAATACACTAAAGTTTTGTTTTTGGCAAAGAGAGAATGGGTCCTTGAGTACGTACTACATACGTCTGTAACTTGATTCAGATTGACAAATGTTCATTCATGGCCAACTATGCCAAGAAAGATAATATAACTTTAGTAAGAGGCTTAAGAACAATGTTTGGAAGGGTAGACATTTGTAAGGGTAATCATAATCTACATAAATATGCAAGAATTTGACTCGAAATAGTGTTTTAGTGCCTACAGTATGGCATGGGGGGTGCCGTAGCCTATGCCATAGGGTGTACCTGTGCTATGACACGGTGCCATGTTTTGTACTAACCCATTTTGAATGGAATTTATAATTAGCAATTCTACCTCACCATATTAATTTATATAATTATATGGAATAAGACTGGAGTAATAGAAACCTCGCTATATCCCAACCAAATGAAAGTGTAATGAAGTTTGCCAGATTCTTGAATTTATACACCCCTCTTTTGGGATTGGGTAACAAAGGATATAATGTCAAGGCAATGTGAATGCTGGAGAAAAAAAAATACATTCAATCATCAGCCATTACTCAAATTACTATGAGCATGACTTTTATCAGCATGTATCCTTCAAACATTTTCTTATACCTTCTATATAAATGTTGTTGGATATAATACTACTCAAGTGTTTGCAAGTCACAATGCCATATAATCCTGTATGAATAAACTGCATTCAGTAGCTGACACTATGAGTACAAAACATGAGTTCCAAATATAACACCAGATATTATGACACTGTGTTGCCATCTATTTGTGTTGAATATATTATAAATATCACAGAGCAATTATTTCAGTATTTCTTGGAGAGAAAAAAAACTAGGAATTCAATCCAATTTTCCTATATATGAGATTACTGATAACTAATGTTGCAATCTAATTTTGCACAGAAACTTTGGTAATCACGGTCCTCTTTTTCAATATAAGGTCAACATTATTGAAAAAGTGAGGAGGTGGGTTACTAATCCATGGCTAATCTCATTATTAAAATGAGATTTTTATTTTTTTCATGCACATTTGTTGAAGTCAAGATATTGTTTTAATATAAAATGTTCATGGTATGGTCGGCAAATACCTGTGACCAAAAATACAGTTGTCCAAAATCTCTTGCCATCTTAATACTAGTCCTTTCTACATTACCACTCTCATACCCCCATGTCACGGTCATAACAAGCTTTGCGATCCCATAATACATTGTCACGGTCATGCCAGGTTTTGAAATACACATTGTCACGGTCACTTATAGCAATCATAAATTTCCACATTACCACTCTCATACCCGAACTTGGAATACTATATCACATTGCCACGGCGGTCATACCAAGCCTTGCAATACTATATTACATTGTCACGGCCTGCCAGGCCTTGCAGTTCTATATTACATTGCCACGGTCATGCCAGGCTTTGCAATACACATTGTCACGGTTATAGCAGTCCTAATCATAAATTTCTACATTACCACTCTCATACCTGAACTTGCAATACTATATTACATTGCCACGGTCATGCCAGGCCTTGCAGAACTATATAACATTGTCACGGTCATGCCAGGCCTTGCAGTAATACAGTACATTACATTGTCATGGTCATGGCTGGCATTGCAATATAATACTGCATTATCGCGGTTATACCAGGCTTTCACGATAACATTACCACGGTCATGGCAGGATCCTTGCGCTACTTATAAACACGGAATAACATGGTGACGGTTACGCCAGGCGTTAGTCTTGCAATAGATAGGGTCTCCATATGAACTGCTTCCCAGAATAAAAAGTAAAATTGTATTGAAGTAATGTTGTGGTTAGATTGGAATGAGCACAAGAGAGAAAGCCGTGTACCTGAAACAACAATGAACTACAGAGAAAACGTAGAATCGGTATGTGATAAAAGTAACTTGTGTTACATTTACTTTGAGAATTTTGTTCATATGACAAACCTGTATTTCCTGAGTCAGCAAATATTTCCGCAAACAAAATGCCATTTTCAAACCACCCATGTTCACGTTTCCCATCACCTTTACATGTGACCTGGTGCTTATCGAAGTCCCTGAAACTAACGGTCTTGTTGCATGTTACGCATTCTCCCCATTCAGTCCGATTTTTAGATTTTGGAGGCATATTGATGAATAAAAACTTTTTTCACGTTTTTTGCTCAAATCTCGCATACTCCATTTTGAACGTAAGTCACGTGATCCTAAACTTTTTCAACTCTACTTAAATACTTTATAGCTTTGCTATATATTCATTTTTGAGCATTTTTGTACTATGAATTATATACTGCCACTATTGTATCATTCATAACGCACTATATGCTGCATAATTTGAAGATAACTGAATGACCCAGTTTTGATCATGTGACTTTCACGCGAGAATCTAAAGCTGCCATGTTGGAAATTCTAGTTACAAATTAAAGTCACCCAGGTTTTTGCTAAGTAACCTTCCAACGTTGTTCATATGGCTAAAATTCAAACGAAAACCCAATGATAACATAGTGGAGTATATATTAAAACAACTCATTCTAAGGATTTTAGATGTTGATGGAGAAGTAATAATAAAACGAAACGAAAGCTGAAATAATTTTTTGGAAAAAACATCAGATATTGGAATACAATTAATTTTAAACGGAAGCTGCTGTGAAATTATGATCATTGAAGAACCAGAACAGTTCAAAGGATGGTTAACAAAGGTCCTTACTCCTATGTAAGTATAATTGATAGTACACTTTCAGAGGCTGCAACTTATCGAATTCTACGACCACTTTAGATTGTGGTCGTACGTGCGTATAATTGGTCAGTCAATGTTTTTACAAAGTTGGAGAAAATATTACGCATTGCACACCTAAATGACCTACCTCGATACATTCCTTAGTATTTTAAAATTCTTTTTATGTAGTTGAATCGCCAATTGTATGGGTTTATCGGCAGAACAAAGAGGTTTTCGTTTTTGATAGCAATATTTGCGTGTAATATTTAACTTATTTCAACCGTCAAACTCCTCCATTCAGTTCCCGGCATGCACCAGTCATAAGGGAAATCCCTGTGGAATTCCCCTTCCGACATTTTGATTGTTGTTGTTGTGTTGCATAAGCCGCTTTTTCCTCGGCAGTTAGTCTCTTGTGCTTTTTCCTTGTATTTTCACAGTATGTACTTTCTCTTGTACTTTATTCACTTGTTGTGCAGATTTTCAAAGTGTCATTCATTATTCATATTTACATTCATATTATTTCTTTATTTCTCTCTCTCTCTCTCTCTCTCTCTCTCTCTCAGCAGTCATTATCTGTAATTATATTTAAACAGTCTCTGTCTGTTTCTTGGTTTGTTAATATTAGATTCTTTTAGTTATCTTTAGATATGTCATTAAGAAATGTCTCATATCTCTGTTCTGTGCTTCATTAAGTGCTTTATGAAAGCCTGTCAAAATCTTTAAGTCTATATTTGGCTTGGGCCCTTCAATCCCTTTATAAATTGCTGATATATTTCTGATGTAAAGACTAAAATCTCTTCGTTCTGCCGATAAACCCATTTTCTAGGTATATTATTTCAGTGATTTAGACAATGTGTGGAAGGAGTGATTGATATTCAAAAAGTAACATTTGACTCAATTGAGGATCGCATCAAAATTCTCTATGTGCAGGACAACATTGACATTTTCACTGACCTACAGAAATGAACTGGAAACCCCCATTGAGTTCCCCCAAAAAACAGTGTTACATAAGATTTTGTCAGCCCAAAATATCCTAAAGGACATAAGACATCTTTGCACAAATGGCATCATTTGAAAGCCTATTTAGTCCCGGGTTTTTAGTTTAGCAGCATATTTTTTATTTCTTTGGTATTTTATTTTCATTTTCTATATACCTGTATCTCTGAATCATATTTTTCAGTTGTGATGCCGATCCAGCAGCTCTAGCTAAGTACATAGTTGCTCTTGTGAAGAAAGAGAAGCCTGAAGATGATCTCAAAGAGCTTTGTAAAGAACAGTTAGATGTCTTCCTCCAAGATAGTAAGTACAAAGTCTAATGTACAGCCCTCTCCCAATTTTGAGTGAATAATTTTGTTGTCATGTTTTAATTTTTATAGATGGCATTTGTTTGCTAACGTTGTGTTATTTTGTTATTTCTTTTCATCTTTCATCCAAAGGCCATTACATATATTTAACTGAAGCAGTATGATATTAAATGATTCATTATTGTGTAACATTATTGTGATTCATCATTACTGCAGAATTAACCCTCATGCTTCTACAAGTGTATTCTTCAACCAAGCTTCAAATTTTTTTTTCCATATTTTCAGAAACTGAAGAGTTTGTAAGCACACTGTTTGTAAGTTTAGGAGATAAATCCTATTTGAAAGCTGATTTGGCCCCAGTAAGTACTGATGGCAAGGAGAATAGTAAGGCACCAGCCCAACAAACAGACACAAAGAAACGCACAAAGTCAGATGAGGACAGACATGTAAGAGTTAAGGTAGTAAATCAAAAATTGTTTTCTGCATGATGCTATGCATGACGACTTTGCATTTGAATCTAAAATCACGTCTGTATTTCAGAATTGAAATGAATAACTGAATGGATTAATAAAAAAAAGAAATTAAAGTACTCATAGTTATTGAATATTCCAAAATCCAACCACCCAATCCGAGAAACAAATCTTTAAATGTTCTTTTTCCATTCCTGATCATATTTCTGTTCTCACCATAGGAAGTGCCCGATGATAGGGACAGAGATCCCAGGAGGCGAAGGTCAAGGAGTCGTAGTAGAAGTCCTCGTGATGGCAGACGTAGATTCACTGAGAGACCCAGTGTAAAAGACAGGCTGGGACCTGCACCGACTGTTCCCCCACCCCCCAGTCTTCACAATCACCCACCACCCCCTCGTGATCGCTATCCACACGATGGCAATTTCCGTGGAAGGCGACGAACAAGAAGCAGGAGTAGAAGTCGTAGTTTATCACCTCGACCGAGACACCGGTCATGGGATAGACGTCCTAGATCAAGGTCACGGTCCTGGTCAAGGTCACGCTCATTTTCAAGGTCACGATCGAGATCAAGGTCAAGATCTCCAAGTGAGTAATTGTTTCTCTTTAATGAAGGTTTATAACTGGACTTTAAAAAAATTTAATTTTTGAATAAACTTTTTAATGAATTTGATGCAGGACCTATTGTTAATCATTTTTAGATTTTGTTTTGAAAATCAGCTTTAAAATGAAGCCTCCATATTTCACTTTTCAGGACGTAGAAGTTACAGCCCACGTGATGACTATAGAGTGCGTAAAGCCCCTGCTGACTCTACCCCAAGCCCTAGAACAGACTTCAGGCACCACAGTCCCGGACCCTGGAGACCTCCTCCCCCAAGGAGGCAGCGATGTCGGGATTACGATGGTAAACCTTCAATCTTTTAATTGCATGGGTGCCAATAGAGGAGTTTCTATAAAATTTTGAAATTTAACTTATTCTTGTCTTTTTTGTGAGGTTTTAAGAGATTTGCATTAAACTTAAGAGGGTGGTTGCGTAAATGATGCCAACAATAACTTTTTTTTATTTTTTTATATGTGAAACTTTGTTCAATTCTGAGAAAAATGAGACCAAAAAAAATTAGGGTCACCGTGCTCGAATTTTTTTTACAGCCAAAACAAAATCATACCCAAAACACTAAAAATCACTCTTAGATATCCCCTAAATTGACCTTTTCATTGTATTTCAATGGGAAAAATAATGTATTTTCTCCCCTATAATAACATTAAATAAAAGTAATTTCCCAACAATAACTTTTTTTTATATTTCATTAATTTAAACCTCGTTCAATTGTTAAAATAATGACCCGAAAAAAATATGGGGTCACCGAGCTATTTTTTTTTCTACAGCCAAATCAAAACCATACCCCCAAAACACTAAAATCACTCTTAACATGTCCGTTAATTGCCCTTTCTATTGTAGGTAGTCTAAATGATGGCCCAAAAGTGCTAGGAAAGCAATTATAAATGTACACTTATGACATAGGGCTATGCATAAATTTGGTACCGTTGGAAAGCTCATAGTGCTAATTTTGAGATTCACTTGTTAAAAATTATAAAATGTGGACCTTAAGTGCCCAAATGCTCGTTTCCATAGTAACCACAAAAATAATGACAAGAAAGTGTTTTTTACACATAACTCCCCCAATATTTCTTCGATTTTGATAAAATTTATATCATATTAAAGATAAAATAGAGCTCAATTTTTCAAAATTACATTTATGCAAATTAGCTCATTTGCATATTGATTGTGACGTCATAACTGAATTATTTTGTATTTTTAAATAGACGAGTATATTTTGAATTTCAATGAGAAAATCACCATACTGAACAGCAATTTAGAGTTCTTTCCAACTAATACTTTATTATGTTAAAATTTTCATTCATTTCTTCAAAAATGACACTGAATAATATAAAGTTTATTTTGAAGTAAAAATACAGCATAATTAATGCATATAGTCAATATACCCTTTCCAACCAATAATCCAGTCCCTTATTGTCTAAATTGCCCGAATTGGCTATAGTTCCATGATCATTTAGTATCAATATTATTCTTTTGGAAAGTTTCATTATTGTAATACTATTATTAAAAACAAATGAATATTGTTATTGATGTGGAGCTTAGGCATTGTCCCAATAATCTGTTGCTATGACAACCAATAGTTATGTCTATTTACATTGTGTACATGCAGGCCCATAGCCAGTGGTTCGTTGGGTTTGAGTGAATCCCCTGGCCAAAAATGTTCACCATTCTGAGCATTTTTCAAGTGATTTTTGTCATTTTTGGGCCAAAATGGTCAAATGTGAACCCCCTGGAATTTTTTGATTTTTTTAGCAAAAGCAGGCTATAGGCATGACATGTATAATAAAATCATGTACATGACAAAATATGCATAAAATATAGATTTATTTTTATCAGAATAACTACATACCACTTTTTTAAAATCCCGAAAAAGAATAAAGTGTTCTGTAGTTCATAATTAAGTATTTGTAAATATGGATTTATGGATACCCTGTACATAGCTACATGTGTTTAGGAATGGTGTTTACAGGGAACATATTCTCTTGAGCTGTTGAGAGATATTGTCATTTTAAACAGATGCTGTTCTTTTTGTTCTGTGTCCATTGTCTATATTATGAATGCCATAAATACCATAAATCCAAAGATAGACAGAGAAAATTAAATAAAGTCAATGTGCTCAGTAAGTTCCACTTCTGCCATGGACTCGTTTGTCAAACTCATTATTGCCTCGCTGGTCATATCCTGTCTTCTGTAGCATGTGCTTACATACACTCTAAGAGGGCTGAGTCATACAAGAATACCCCAAGACCAATAATGTGGATCATACCTGAAATTGAATATCACACAAAAGTAACTAATTGCATGTATCACTATGATATAAAAGAAATATGAATGCAGTTACTTCATTCAAGCATAACATTATCCAAATTTATAGTTACATAGTATTGGAATTCCAATCATGGTGTTAAAATTGTAATCAGGACCAAATTATGAAGGCCTATGTGTAGTTTTCTTTTTGAATTAGGCAAGAAAGTTATCTTTTTTTGATAATAAAAATGATGAGTTAATCCCATACAGCAAAACCTGTATATCTGAACACCTGGCTGATCCAAATACCTTCAAATGCTAACACAATTTCTGGCTCCATTTTTCCTCCCATTGACTTGACTCCCATGTTAAAAACCTTGAAATCTGACAACATCCTAATTCGAACAGTGGACACTCATATTTGAAAATTTAACATGTGTTAATTGAACACTTGCCACAATTTTTACAAAACTGTTCAAATATTTTAAATTTAAGACTGATTTGATATGAAATTCTGAAAAATATGAAATGGCCTCAGATTTTGGATGCCATGAAGCCAAATGGTCAATAGAAATATTAATATTCATTGAGAATGCGTTAAAATCCACAATCTTGCGGATAGAGAAACCGAAATCAATACTTCTCCCCATCCGAATGCTTTCTGACCATTCTCAATGATGTTCAGATTGGACAGATTTTACTGTATATTTCTTGTTCCCTTACCTCTTACATTCTGTACCTCCAGCTAATTTTGTATAATGTCAAATGACTGTTAGTCAGGTGTAACGTACATCCACTGAAGCCAACTTTCTGGCCACCCAAGACATCTTTGGAAACAAGGCCTGCAGAACATAAATAAATATGTTGTAAATTTACATATCTACAGGGTGGGCCAATAACAATTAGAAAATTTTTCCATTTCTTCAATTTTCTTTATTATTGCAGCTCAATCAATAAAAATTCAGATAACTGTAAAATGATTACTGGTGAACATGTTAAATTTAAAAATGTGTATGTATTTATTTTTGGCTTGTCAATTGATCATGATCTGTATTCTACATGCAGACATGTGTCATGACGAATTTCAAATTTTCTCAGCTTGAGCCATCACTGCTGAAATCATCTTTTTAACATACAATATGTGCCCTGCAAATGGTCTCACCACACTTTTCATCAATTAAAACATATGTTGTTATCTCTAGAAGTTAACCATCTCTCCCTTGGATAATATAGCTTACTGACCTCCTGCTTTTTTTCTTGAAGTGAGTAATTAAAGCTTGAGCTTGTATATTCAATAATTATATTTACACAATATTGACAATGAATTATTTTTTCAATTTCCTAAAGTATTGAAGATAATACATGACTAAAAGTTACAATGGATTTTTTGGCCCACCTTGTATATAATCTATTTATTACAAAAACAACTAGACTTGAAGTTATTTTAGTACCAGCTGGAAAGATCACTTGATACCATATATCAAAGTATCCATGCCATTTTGATACTTATTGCATCCTTCTGTTTAGCCAGAAACATGATATTTTGAGGCATATTGTGATCTGGGCTCAATCAGATGGGAATTGAGTTACACCTGTCAAAAAGTGTCATGATTATCATATAATGATTGCCTTAATGTCTATTCATTTATTGTATTCTGTAGTCATTGCCTACACAGGTAAAGGTGATATAACATCTATCTATATAACTTGAACAATATATTACATGTCATTTATACAATTACCTGTACTCAAAAACTTCCAGGTCATTTGACTGGACAAGTATGTATGGCCTATGTCGACAATGACGTGACAGTCATCTAAAGGATCTAACTGCATTGCATGATCATTTATCATTAATCATAATAACTTCCTCAACCTCCCAATCATTTTGACGCAACTGTTAGTGTCCATAAAACCGTTGTTTGTTGTTTTGGGTAACTTGTCATCTGAAATACATGGAAAAGTTTGAAAGTATATCAAGAATAAAATGAAACTTGAGACGTCATATGATGTTCTATGATATCTAATACCGATACAGTAAACATATAAATGTACAGTTTCGACTATACTGCAGTACAGCACATGTACAGTACGTGTAGCATGTTTATCCGTACCCTAGTTCAACGCCGGGGCCATAAGACATGCCAGATAAGAAACCAGGCCCCAGGCGAGGTCTAATGTTGTTGGGACTATCCGTGCCCAAATATTTATTGATGATAACTGCATGTGATTGCCATGTACCACAGGACACTTTTAATACATGTACACGAAACATGTACATGTAATTTTCCATTACAAAGTTATCTTTTTGCCCACATCAAAATGTACTTTTACTGTGATAGGCGATAGGCAGTCAAATATAGTTAACATTTCATTTAAGATGTCCCGACTCTGCCCGCATGGGAGGTCTCTGGGACATGAAAACCTGTTGAGTTTGAACATGGCCTTTGTAAGATCAAGGTCATGACGAATCGATCACCCAAAATAAATTCATATGTAATTTTAAGAAGAATTTCAGTGATTATATGCATACGATCACAGAATAATCCATTGTATTTATATATAACACTACCATCTACTATTAACATACCAAATTATTACATTAAATACTAAATTTCAAGGGAATTTATGAGAATTTTCAAATCAATATTACGCAAATGACAATTCCCGATCGAGAACCAGGAAGCGATTTCTACCTATAAATATGGTGATTTTGATCGATAACAAAAGGAAAATGATATTGAATTCGATACTTCTTACCTTCATAAACAGTTGTTATGATGTTTAATGCTTCGATTCTCCACTGTTTGCCCGATTGAGACTGAAATCGTCCCGTCATCAGTGCAGCATCTTGTTTCTAGGTGGGCGATAATTGGTGAGGAGTTTCAGAGACGTTCAAAAATTACGACAATAGAGTGTCTTATTTTCCCGTGCAACTAATTCTCTCATCACAAATAAATATTATAAAGCCATTTTCATTCATTTTGAACATAAGTTTTATTTATTTGAGTAATATACATTAAAATAACAAAATCACGGCATCGAAACCAAAACCGAAAGTTAGATGCGCGAGAATGATGCGCACTCGTCCATCGGCTTTAGGAAACCACCCTCTTAAGTGACTAATACTTTCTTCTTTTTCATAGTGATATTTAAATTCAGTGAAAAATTTCTTCTCAAATTTTTCCTTTGACGGTTATGGTATTTAAATCAATTTCTATGACTTTTTCAACTTTTTGAAAAAGCGTGGGCCAAATCTCCATTGATGCAATGTTAGAACTCTTTAATAGCATCTATTTATTCAGCGATATATATATCAACTCCCTTATTGTGATTCAGAGTAAGTCTTGTTTTGTGTATTTGCAGAGAAAGGATTCTGTATGCGAGGGGACTTGTGCCAGTTTGATCATGGAGTCGACCCAGTCATTGTTGAAGATGTGAACTTGCCAAAAGTTTTGTCATTCCCGGGTGGACCTAACCCCCCAACTGGACCACCTGGCCCACCAAGAGGACCACCTGGCCCACCAAGAGGACCACCTGGTCCACCCAGGGGACCACCACCGCCTGGTAAGAGGAATTATATCAATGACTAATAGATTTTTGGCTCAATCAGTAAGCCAATGGGATTGAATAGGCGTCTGTTGATCCCTCCATCTGTTGGTCCATCCATCTGTGGTCCATCCATGTTAACATTGGACACACAAATTAAAACTGCTATTTGTATTGAGTCATATCCACAGTTATTAATTTTATGCATATCAATAATGCCTATTCGACCTTTCATCACCATTTGAAAAATTGCTGATTTTGACATCAAAAAGTAAATTTCTCTTTAAATATCAGATATTTTGTTAAAGTAGAACTTTTTTGCAACATATGTCCTCTGAAGATTTCAAAGCACTCAGAATTACAGATTTCAATGTTTACTCTAATATTTGACAAAAAGTAGGCTTGGCAGGGAACTTTTTCACGCTAGGCTTTTACTCTGACCCAGCACCACACTTTATTTAGCTCCCACCACAGCCTATTGGCAAATCATGATTGTTCCCATAGTCTAATCTTGATTAAATACACAATAATAGCATGTGAAAAGGATGAAATATAACATACGATGATTTATCAAGATGGAACAGTTATGCTGAAGATGTTTTCACTTGGCTAAATATTTCCTGGTGAGAGGCCTGAGAATTTATACTGACTTGATTTCAAACTAAACGTTTTACCATTTAAGAATTCAACCTGAAAGTACATATCAATCCATTGGAAGTTCAAAAGCAAGTTATTTTGCCAAAAAATGTTTAAAATATTTATGAAGTCCCCTTAATGTGGAAATGCTTTATTTGGCAAATTAATGTACTACTTACCCTGCATGCAGAGTCTAGTTAAACTACACTCTGCCTAGTTGAGACCATATAACAGTTTAGTAGCCCCGCCCCCACGATGGGTACCGGTGACAGTTTGGGTAATAAATCAATTCTGACCTACGCGCTGACCTTTCTTCCACCAATCAGCGAGCTTGAAGAAACATACGCCAAATGCGTTCTAATTAAATATGCGTGTGTCATTGGTCAATTCCGGGCTCAACGATGACGTCAGAAGGAATGACCATATATAGAACGTCGGTCAAATTCGGCCGACGAACACTGATTGGTGCGGTGAGTTCATAGGTTTATTTTAGTTTGAAAGAGTGAAGACGAAGCTCTCTTTTAAGAAGTGAAGTCAAACGAATGCAAAGGGTATTTACTACTCCAAGTTATACCCTGAATAACTCATATCAAGATTCCTCAAAGCTAGCAATTTCTGATCAACTTTTTGGAAAAATTCATGAAAATCTAAATTCAGCTGTTATTACACACACATATTACACACTCTCAATGTTTTACTAAAGTGCTATATAATTGAATAAAAATTTTAAAACTAATAAATCTCAATTTCTGAATGTATCAAAATCAATCAAAATATCATTGGTATCTAAATTTCAAGACTGCTTTTTCAGAATGATATAGGAACTCCCAATGAAGCTAGTTAATGAGAAATATATTCAACAACGTCTTCCCAACATTTGCCATGTTTATTTTAGTTATTTAAAGTACATTAATATTTCATCTACAAGCTCAAAGAGCTATAGCCTAGATCTTGAAATAAATTTTTAGTGGTAGTTGTATATGGGCCCCAGGGCAGCTTTACAATTACTAAAATATCAACAAATTAACTGATCCCCTTTCCACCTGAAATTAATTAATATGTTGGGGAAATGGTCCTATCACCGTACAGGTACTCTGGAAAACTACTGACGATTTCAAATATGATAACTTCAACTTATTTTGAGAATATGAGATGAAAGATCAACCTTTGACATTTCTCAATCTCCGAACGGTAACACTTTAAGACCCCTTAGACTCGCATGTGCGGTGGTCCTAATTATCGCACAGTCATCCTAATTATCGCACAGTCGTCCTAATTATCGCACAGTCGTCCTAATTATCGCACAGTTGTGTTTCAGATGTCATTTCACGATACTGTATACATTTCTCTGTTTCTAACAGATACATACATATGCTATAATCATTTTTCTATCAGTTCTAGTGTAAAATATCAACAAAATATACATTATACACTTTATTTGGGGGGTCAAACTTTGTCAGACGAATTTCACTTCTTGCGCGATAGCATTTATGACAAAAGCGGAAGTAAACAATTCTTAAAAAATGAAGAGATATTTCTAAATATATGAATAAATCATGAAGATTGGGAGTAATCGTAACACTGGTTTAAACGATGGTGGGTGCATATTTTAGCTATTTAGGACAATCGTGCGATAATTAGGACCATTTCCCCTAGTGGTATAAATAAACCAAGGAAAATAAATATAAATGCGCTTTTGCCCAACAGGTAAATGCAATTATTAACAAATACTCATTTGAATGATATATCAAAATAAGTGAGAGCACAGGGCCATTGGTCCATTGAACCAATGGACTAGATTTTGATTGATGTTAAAAAACAGCAAGAAAATATAAACCTAGAGCTCTTTCGTTTTGTTATAAGTTACACTGTTATACGTTGCAGTGATTGTACTCTGCGGGAGAATTATTTTGATTTTGGTCACTTTAAAATCAAAAATAAAGGCTCACATTAAAATCAACATTATTGACTTGCATATTTGAGGCTGTGTGTAGTTTCTAAGCCCTTCATCAATTTTGAACTGATTTTGAATAATGCAGATGCGAGTAGGTAGTTACCAGATTCACCACCAGGTGGCTTGTTGGGTCAGATAGCATGGCGGGTATAGTAGAAAGTTCCCTTTGTTTTAAATTACATCTATTTGCGTGGCTCAATTTTCATATAACCCGTATGTATCTAATAGTTATGTAAATTAAAATATGTCCAGTAAAAATAAAAAGTTATCTATCAATACAATAGAAGATATTTCATTTTTTGTGATTTTGTAACATGGGGTCTATGGGGAATCAACCTGAACAAGAAGTCACATTTTCAAAAAAAATTAAATTTTCAAAGTTGATTTTCGAAACCATATTTATTGTACTTTTACATACAGATTTTAAATATGAGATCACTTTGACCGAGTTTTGAATATTTAATGACGTAAATCAAGATTATTTCTACTCGCATCTAGTCTATTGTGTCATGACCTCGAATTTTGTAAAAAAATTGGTTATCAAGATTTTTTATCAATGAGTTCTGTAATCATATTGAGATCTATTGAAATATTAGAATCCACCATGTTCTCTGTAATTATTATATTAGTGCCTTGGGCATTTAGGAAAATCAAAATCAAACCTTCAGAGCCCCTGGCGGATCCAGAAGCTAACAAGGGGGGGGGGCACATTTCAAGTTTGACAAAAAATTTCCAGGCCCCTAAAATCAAAAAGGCCCATTTTTTGAGGCCATACATTTCTAGGCTCACTCAAGGAGGGGGGGGTTTCGTGCCCCATGGGCCCCCCCCCCTGGATCCGCCAATAAGACCATTCTAATAATGCCCTTATATAAAATAAGTGGTATTGCATCTTTTAATTTATTACTTTAGGTGCAGTGAGACATCCCGGACCTCCACCACCCAGGGGTCCTCCTGCAGGTATGCCTGGTCCCCCTCATGGTATGGAAGGTCCTGTTATGCCAAGGCCCCCACTCCCTGGGGGTCCTGGAGGTCCTCCTCCAATGCAGCCACAGCCAAGGCCTCCCATGGGTAAGTTAATGATTTTCTGGTTAAATGTATCAATTTGCCTAAGAATAGTGTCAGTTATTCCTCGATGCATATCCAAGTGTCGATATAATCACATTGAAAAAAAAACAATTCAAATCCTCTATCTCTCTCAATTAGGCTAATATTGCTACCTATTTGTTCTCCAACAAATGCCAATATTTTTCCACTCCCAGTGATCAAATAATGATATTTTAAAATTAACCGCTATTGTAGATCCCCCACCCCCTGGGACTCAACAAAGTCCCCCTATCCCCACCCCCCACTCCACATCTGGCAAACCGCCATATTGGGGTAAGTGTACACTGTACATGGTGAAGGTTTACGACTTTGTGGGTTGGGTTTTTATTGATGTTTTTTTGGTGTTGCTATGACATTTATAGTATGTGTTATTGGTTCACATGGTGAGCCGATGGAATCCCTTGCTATCCATCCTTGTTTTGGAGAATTCAGCTGATAGTCAGAAGACATTTTCAAAAAGAATTATTTCATTCATACCAAATTATGGTAACTTGCATATAAAGGAGTTAGCATTAGTAATCACCATGTGAGTCCATCCATACATTGGTGCCATTTTCAAACTTGGGATTCTGGCTTGGTGTCTTGTCGAGGGACACAAGGGAAAGTATCCTGATTCTGAACAGTTATAAAACAATAAAGAAAATTTATATGTTATTGTCACAAATCATGAAACAAGAATCAACTGTTCACCATTTTCAAAGGTTTTAAAATTGGTAAAGGGATTTCATTTATAAAGATTAGCTTTGTTTTTTCACACTTTTTTGTTATAGTCTCAAATTTTTTATGGACGATGTTTACCATTTAGTTTTCAGTGTTCGTCAGTTCCCGTATCTGTAACAAATTCTTACAACTTCCAATAACTTAACAAGTGCGATTTAGACTGATTTCAATTTTTTACATTTCTGCCAATATCTGTTACCAATTGGCAACACATTAAAGGTCAAAAAGGCCAACAGAGTTATTTTCAACTTCCTTCAAATTGACCATGTTTTCAAAATCTACAAGTTATCAGTAGTTCAAATCTGACTTAAGATTTGAGATTTGACCTTTGGTTGACCTTCATTGACCTTTGAAAAGTGGTGACATTTTGTCATATTGATGCCTTGTTAAGATTCAGTTTTTGTTTGTTGCAATTATATGTTCATTTGTTTATTTTTCAATTTCCAATACCCATTGTTGTAATAATGGAAATCATGATGTCATAAAAATGAGAAAATATTAAAAATGATGAGAATACCCTAATTTCTTGGGACTCAACAATATATATTTTTTGCTTTATGGTATTTTAAATGATTTTCATATCAAAATATTTTTCACAACAGTAACATTATTATTAGGTATACTTTTGTTAAGGTAAGATTATGAAATTAATGAGCGCTTTTGTGTAAATTCTATATCTGGAATTAGGGTTTAATTTTGTAAAAACCATTGATATTTTGATCAAAATTTAATGATTAATAAATTAATTATGTATGTATGTGTCTTCTTTTCCAGAAGGTTACCAGGGAGAGAGGTACAACCCTGAGGCACCTCATCCCCAGGGACCCCCTCCATTCTGGCAAGGTGGCCCAGGGGGTCCTAGGGGGCCTCCCCCTGAGAGACCACCCCACCCTGGACACCCCCCTCATATGATGATCCCACCCAGGCAAAGAGATCTTGTCACCATCACTCCTGTAGATAATGGAGCACCACCCCAACATCCCCATGGTAACAATATTTGACACTTATATTTAACTTTAGAAGTGGTGACATATTTCTATAGTCTCCAACTTTGTTGTGGATGGTGTTCAGTAGTTGGTGTTCGGTAATAAATTGTTTGGTAACAAATGGCAGGTGGTGACATTTTGTATGTAAATGCCTTATTATTCAATACAGTTAAATGCTATTTGTTGGAATGCAAACATAGTGTGAATTTGTCACTTGATAAGCGACTAAAATAACATTTTGTTATAGTATGGATTTTTTGCTGATGGGGCAAATACAGTATTGTTCAAAATATTGTCCTTGATTTTGCAGGACAACAACATCATCAACAACAACATCAACAACATCAACATCAACAAGAGCAACAACAACAACAAGGAGTGAAGAGGCCATATCACAACAATGTTGACAGACAACCACCAGCAAAGAGACCAAATATGGAAAACAAAGGTAAGAATAATGAATAGGATGTCAAAATCTGGATGAAGCATTTCCTAAAAGCGAATATATGATTTTTTTAGGCACAAATGTTCAAATACAAGAAAATTTCTTCTTTTTTCAAAAAAGTTAAGGTTAACTGGGACAAATCAGAATCGAGACAATGTGACAAGATCAGAATTATGACATTATCCCCATTCCCCAATGACCCAAGCCAGTCAAGTTTTACCCAAAAAAGCTCAAAAGCAACATTTGAAAAACATTTAAAACATTAACCATTGTATATTTCAACTTCCCATAAAGTACCAAATCTGAAAAAGAAAGGCCAAAAAGCATGCATAGCAAATAAAAATAATAATTACATACGCTTGAATTAGAATATGAGTAAGTGTTAATCATATAATTTTTTGACTGACTTTTAGGTGGTTACAAGAAAGCGCCGTTTGATCCTACAAATTGTACTTTGGAAGTGCGCAAGATCCCATCAGGTTTTAACAATATTGCCAAACTTAATGAGCACTTTGGAAAGTTTGGCATCATCACTAATCTTCAGGTATATTTTCTTGTTTGTTTTTGTTAAAACGTTTGTGAATACTTTTTTACATATTGTTCTTTTCGTGTTCTTTACATATTCTTCTTTTCGTGTTCTTTACATCTTCTTCTTTTTGTGTTCTTTACATCTTCTTCTTTTCGTGTTCTTTACATCTTCTTCTTTTTGTGTTCTTTACATCTTCTTCTTTTCGTGTTCTTTACATCTTCTTCTTTTCATGTTCTTTACATATTCTTCTTTTCGTGTTCTTTACATCTTCTTCTTTTCATGTTCTTTACATCTTCTTCTTTTCGTGTTCTTTACAAATTCTTCTTTTCGTGTTCTTTACATATTCTTCTTTTCGTGTTCTTTACATCTTCTTCTTTTCATGTTCTTTACATATTCTTCTTTCATACATATCTACGAATAGATCTTGAAGTTGAGAAAAATATTGACAATCCTATTATAATCTATAAAATGTAATTACTCTATAATCTATAAAATTGTAAAAAAAAATCTATAATCTAAATGTGATCATTCTGTTGAGAAATCTATTTTTATGAAAAAGTGATAATCTGTTTTCTATGGAATTAAAAATATAGTAAATCTATTATGACAAATGTGATAAATCGATCAATAAAATTTCATAAATACGTATTACATATAAAAATGTAACAAAATATATTATTTATAAAAAACTCATGCTTATCTATAAAAATATTTTAGGTGAGTTACGAAGGTGACTCAGAAGGAGCTTTGGTGACATACGCCAGCAATGGACAGGCAGCGGCAGCATATAGGTGTCCCGACCCAGTCTTCAATAATAGGTTCATTAAGGTGTTCTGGCACAATAAAGATCAAGAATCAAATGTAAGTAAACCGCATAAGTAGATAACACTCATTTTAGACTTAATAAATAACTTTCCTTTTTATTATATCACCACCACAATTGGCTCATATTGTTACAGTCTTCAATTTGTGGGCGGTAGTTAGAGTTCAGCAATTGGTGTGTGGCGCTTGGTTGTCTGTGTCTGTGTCTGTAACAAATTGCAGGCGGTGACATTTTGCATGTTAATGTCTAGTAACTTAGAATCATCAAAAAAAGATTGTGTGTCAGTATGTTTTACTGTATGTAATAGGGGTGGGACGATGACCCGATGAGTCGATTCCCCGCGGGTTGAGGCCTTCGGGTTGACCCGAATCGACTCCTCAAGTTGAGGAGTCGACTCGTTCGGGTTGAAAATGATGATAACTTCCGGTTTATAATTCCAGGCAATTTTTAGTATCTAAACTGTAGATTTCAAGGCTTTCTTTCATGATCTAGCCCATCTATGTGTTTATAGTAGATATTAGAAATGTCCAGAGTATTATTAATGTAATAACATTACTTGTTTGTATGTAATGATTGGAATAAAATAGAAATTATAAACTTACGTTAGACTTGTTTTGTTTTCTTTTTGGTGATTAATTTACGAACGAAAATAAAATGACGTTCGTTATTTTATCTTTATTATTAATGTATGTTGTCATTCCCTGTGAGAAATTTTCTATGTTTTATGAGTAAACAATTGTTTATTATCCCCCGAATACAAATATATGACAGGTAAAACGATAATAATGGGAACAAACTCCGACTTTTTTGTTCTGTTACGAAAGTTCTACACGTTCGTTAAATGTCTAATATACGAACGACCACGGGCTTTTGTGTTCGGTATTTGTTTTTAGATCTTAAATAAAAGTTGTTGAAATTTGTGCTTTTTATCAGATTATATCCGAATTATTTTCAATTCAAATACTTTAGAGTGTTTCTAGTATGAAAACTATGAGATAAATGACTGATTTATTGATAATCGTAAGTGTTGGGTGTGTTGTTGCAAACGCGCCGGTCGTTCGTAGATATTTGCCTGTTCAGCAAAAAAGAACATGCCTAAATCGCTTCTCCTAAAAAATCAGCCTCTCTCAAGGCACCAATTTGGCTGCATTTCGGGTTCCATCCCATCAAAAAGGACCATGTCGTTTGCCGGATGTGTCATTGGGAGTACGGCTATAAGCATGGTAAGCATGAAAATGCTAAAATAAAAACCAATTTTATTTTTTTTGAAGATTTTTAATTGCGGCCCTATATAACCCGACCCGAGTCGGAACTCGAATCGGATTTCTCTGGCCCGACCCGACCCGGACCCGAATCGTGCCATTTCGACCCGTCCCACCCCTAGTATGTAAGTATGCAGACATGAAATCAATTGAAAAATGTACCAAATAGAACTGAAAGTGTCATCATTTACTCTTTTTCATTTCAGAATTCTGGTCCTAAGCAAGAGAGCCATAAATCAGTGAAGGATCGGTTAGGAATCCCTCCTCCTCATAAATTGCAATTAAACAACACTAAAGTACAGAAGGTAACATCTTCCTATCCATTTCACTATAGATATTCCATGTATGGTTTTACCCTTCTTGAGAAAGCAGATATTTGCAATTTTGCAAAATAACAAAATACATACATGTAGATGCAAGTCTTAAAATCAAGTCTGGAAGTAACTTTTATGTAATGCTGTAACAAAATCAATACTAATTAAAGAAAAAACAGACCTTTTGTACAAGATTTTAGAACAGAACATCCAAAATGGCCAACTTAACCCAGTATGTTGAAAACTAATCCCACATCTCTTGAAATTTCAAAATAATCCCTCAAATGTTTAGCCTGTTTTTTTTAGCCACTACAGGTGTATAATGTTTATGTACTTTATGTATTTGTAAAATAAATTCTATGAATAAAAAAAAAAAATAATAATGTTTAGCCTGGAAGTGAATAGATATTCAAAAAATTGATATGCCAGCCACGTGTGTTAAATTTAAAATCAAAGTTTCCCTCAAATTTTTAGCATGATAGTGCAGGAAAACACACCAGCTCATAATGAATTAACTAATTTCAGCCTACCAGCACTGGAACTGTGTCCTTGACCCCGACTGGTAATCTTACAAAGACAGTGATTAACCAATCAGCCCTTCACACAGAACAACCCCAACAAGTACAAACTCATACACACTCAACAGCAGCCCCTGTACCAGTGAACCCTAAGAGAAAAGTATTACCCTCAAAATATGATCTGCAGAAGATGGTAAGTATGAAATGATATTCTTCATTTTCATTAAAAATTAAATTCACGTCAGTTGCAGCCATCTTGAATTTCTGGGTGAAATACGTCACTTTTGGCAATGGATTCAAAATTCACAATATGTAGTATTATGGAGTTATGATCACAAAGTTCAGCTTATCATGTTATCGTGACCAATGAAAGTGGTTCACATTTGGCAAGAGTTGAGTGGTTTCAAAAATCTCTGATCCATGCTTTTATATCTGGACATATTTGATGACAGGTTGAGTGGTTTCAAAATGCCTGATCCATGCTATTTGATTTGATTTGATTTTGAAAACTATATTTATTACAATGTTTATTACATTTGTTGTAGGAAGTTATGAAGAAGCAGCTTGAAATTCAAAAGCAGAAGCAGCTGTTGCTAGGGAAACAGCTTCAGCAGCAAAAGATGCTCATCAGCAAATTGGAGACCAACAAAAATCTCACAACTGAAGAAAAGAATGCAATTATGAAGGTATATGGCCTGACACTGTTTGAATCATATGTTCACTAGTTTGTGCAAACATGCAATGTTGTCATTAAGTTGCATGGTCATTAAACACGGAACCTTTGTTGTTTGAAAGGACTTGTTGGTGTTCAGTGTTCAGAGTTTGTAACAATAATGGCAAGTGGTGACATTTTGCAGGAAGCAGAGATATATTGTTGTTATTGTTACAGTTTAGTTTAGTTTAAGTTTAATAATAGTTTATTTCTGTGTCACAGGTTTACTAAAATATTACAAGTAAAATACATGTATTAAAAAACCCAACAGCCGACATCGGCTTACGAGACACCATATAAATATACAAAGATAGTCAATAGAAAAATATAACATCGGTATGTCGAATAATATCACAGAGGATGTAGAGTAAGTTTGCAGAGTGTGAACAATTCACAGACAAAATGACTAGAGTTAAATAACATACAATATAAACATGTGATTTCAAAATGCAATAAATGAGAATACAGTAATTATGACTGGTTGATAATATTGCACATATTTAATATCACAAACATTCCAGGTTAAATAAACGTTTTGAGAACATTTTGTAAAGAGTAGCAGCAAGGCAGCTTTGAATGTTCTTTGCATGTAGTAATGTGATCATAATTAAGGTTGGATTGGCACTTGAAGTATTTAAATAAGGTACTTTAACTTTGGCTTCCTGATACAACATGTCTCTTAATTCTGTATAATGTGAACATTTAACAAGAAAATGTAATTCATCTTCAACTTCATTTGAGTCACACAGTTTACACTTCCTTTCCAATAAAGGAGTGTTATTATACCTTTGTGTCTCAACATTAAGTTGAAGGGACCCAGTTCTTAAGCTAGCTAGAATTTTCCTATGATGTCTTGGCATGTAAATGTTGTTATAATGTTCAGTTATTACTCCGTACTTGAACTGTCTATATGTCCTCAGTTTATTACCATTGACTAGGTTATGTTGATCATTCCAAATATTTGTAAGAAATGGATCAGTTTGTTGAAAATAATCACTAATTTTTTCCATGAAGGGTTTACATGGGGTTTGTGTCCCTAAATGTTGTTCAAGGCCTGCTAGTTGTATTATGTGCTGTGTTCTGGAATCCCAGCTTGAGCGTCTTTTTAGAGACCATTTGTAGATCTTATGGTTTAATCTGTTGGGGTTCATGTTTCTGAGTCTAATAAGGTGGCGTACACATTCAATTTTCTGTTTATCCTTTGCTTGTGTCCAGCCTAAATCCCCTCTTACTGCTTCATTGCTGGTCTTTGCTCCAACACCCAGGAAAAATTTTCCAGCTCTATTTTGCACTTTGTTAATACAGCTATGTTCTGACAGCCCAACAGTCATGGTTATTGTGACACGCATTCTGAATCTGCTTGTATGCAACAAATGGTTACACTTATGTACCTGTAACAAATGGTTACACTTATGCCTTATGTAAATGCAAGTGGTGACATTTTGTCATGTAAATGCCTTTCATGTATTTTCATTTATAATGTTACTTTGCAGACAATAAAAACTGTCGCTGATAGTATAGAGAAGTTAAAGACTGAGGCAACCGTGACTCCATTACAATCTGCAGCGCCATCTATTCCTGCAGTTCCTCATCATCCCCATGGAAACAAAAGCCACCATGAACCAGTCAGCCCAACTGATGTGAGTCAAACAAACAAAACTGTAGTGAACTCTAATGAGCACACTGTTCCAATGAGCGCACATGCGACTTTTATGTTGAATATGGTCTCAGGAAAACAATTCAATTTTCAATTCAGTTTTCTAAACATGAAACTTAATGTAGTAGTTTTGATTATTTACACAACAAGATGTCAATTGATGATTATATTTAATGCAGAGAAAATATACATCCATAAGTTCAACACTCCTTTTACCCATTAACCCAACTTAAAACAAACCTTTAAACTTCCAAGAAGAGCACTCTTTCAGGTACCAAAAACGTTACAGTTACACAGGATTTACTGTACATGTACAACATTTCTGATGTCAGTTGAAATGCTCTGTTGTTGTACTTATTAGGCTCAGAAGGAGATACTGGACACAGAACTAGAGTTAATGACTCAGCAAAGCACTGGTGCAGACACAACTGATCTCAGACAGAAGCTTAACTCACTCAAAAAAGAGGTATGTCCGATTGTCCATTATGTGAGGTACAATAAAGATATGAGGTAAATCTAATATATGAAGTGGCTAGACAATAGATTTGACAAAGACAAACATCATAATGCAAAGACAGAGAACATTACAAACTGCAACTATATAAAATTATTTTAGTAGTTCATCTTTAAGATCTGGCATTATCATACTCGTACATGTAGCTTCTGTTTAATCCAACTTGAACATGTTTTCAAATCACCATATGAATAAATATATTTTTTTTAATTGTTTTTTTTTGCAGGCTGCATCATTGGGTCTGATTAGCCGAGGTGGTGGGCGTGGCAGGGGGCGTGGTCGAGGGTACATGAGGGGTGGAAGGGGGCGTGGCTATGGTAGAGGTGGAGGATTCCATACTATAGATAGGCGGTCCAAGCAGCTGTCAGTGACAGGGTTTAATGTTGAAGACAAAGAAGAACTTGAGGGTCACTTTAGTGTAAGTATGTCTCATTGGAGTGCCAGTTACAAAGTACTGAGGGTTTTTTCTTTCAAATAAACATTTCATCTCAATGGAGCATGCCATACAGTACACACCTTTTTGTTTGAATACAGAATATTAATGCAAAGATTGTTTTAATGCAAAGTTAAAATTTAATCCATGATTGATTTTTAGGCTAAAGTGTAGCTAGCTACTAAGTTGTTGTGTGGTTTATTTATTACGTTGTGATACCTCTCATCAATTCTCAGCCTTTTGGCTAAGATCAAAGTGTAATGTTATTTTGCAGGCGTTTGGTCAATTGGAGAGTGTTGTTCACTTAGATGAAGGAACTCGTGCAATAATCAGCTTTGCTACCAGGCAACAGGCGGAGGAGGTGAGGCATAGATGTTGTCATAATTTTAAATTTTACTGCTCTATTTCAGTTCCATTCAGCAGATTTTATTCAGAAATTGAAATAAGTCATCAAATGGGAATCAGCTCAAATGAAAATGTAGTTTCACCTTGCTACCAGTTTGAACATTAGGGTGGGCATCTCATAAATCTTGTGCCAAACTTTTGCCAAGATCTGATTAGGTTTTGGCATACTAGGTACTGGATAAACGACTTGGTGTTCATTTTGAATTGTCAATAAAAAATGTAATATTTATCACAGTATATCTTTTTCCTCATTGAGTATTCCTATGTTTGTTGTTTACAGGCCATGTGTAATGGTAGCAGATTTGGCTCAAGTGGTTTAGTGATGTCCTGGTTCAAGCCTGGTGCAGCCCCTAACCCCCCACCTCAGAGACGCAAGTCCTCCATTGATGCAACAGCCCTTCTAGAGGAAGACGTAAAGGACACTGAGGACCATGCTGAGGCTGAAGACCTTGCAGTGAGTGGATCTAGTGAATAAAAAATCAGTACACAAAATGCCTCAGTTTGTCCTTGGCCCCCATATCATACAGGGTGACTCTAAAAATGCAACCGTCTATTTACGATGACTCAAGTATGATGAATCGTCATGGATTTTTGGGGAGTGTGTTCAATACAATGAAATATTGACATAGGCTACTTCATAGCATCAATTTGTGAGAACAGTTATTGAAGTTACAATAATTACAGACATTTTTTTTTATTTCACCACTACAATTGGTGGTCAGGAGCATCTATAGCAAATGGCAGGTGGTGACATTTTGCCTGTTACTGCCTTGTGATCTTATTATTTCGATTGTGTATATAACATATCATTATGAAAGAAATATTTTAAAATTATTTAACTTCATCCTTGTGTATTTCATTCCATTGTTCCATCCAACTTGTAAAATCATGACTTTTTCAGGTTATAATCATTTCACTAAATGCACTTAACAATATTTCAGGATGAAGAGGATGATATTCATTTCACTAAATGCACTTAACAATATTTCAGGATGAAGAGGATGATATTCATTTCACTAAATGCACTTATCAATATTTCAGGACGAAGAGGATGATATTCATTTCACTAAATGCACTTAACAATATTTCAGGATGAAGAGGATGATATTCATTTCACTAATTGCACTTAACAATATTTCAGGATGAAGAGGATGATATTCATTTCACTAATTGCACTTAACAATATTTCAGGATGAAGAGGATGATATTCATTTCACTAAATGCACTTATCAATATTTCAGGATGAAGAGGATGATATTCATTTCACTAAATGCACTTAACAATATTTCAGGATGAAGAGGATGATATTCATTTCACTAAATGCACTTAACAATATTTCAGGATGAAGAGGATGATATTCATTTCACTAAATGCACTTAACAATATTTCAGGATGAAGAGGATGATATTCATTTCACTAAATGCACTTAACAATATTTCAGGATGAAGAGGATGATATTCATTTCACTAAATGCACTTAACAATATTTCAGGATGAAGAGGATGATATTCTAGATGAGGATCTCTTGCTAGGTGGAGAGGAGGATGATGAAGATGATGAGGATCGTGGCTGGAAACGATGATACTGATGATGTCATAGTGTCATGCAAAACACTATGATGTCATGTAAACACTTGATGGCATATCCGTACTGTACAAACTCCCCTTATGGTGGACCTTTGGTGCCTATTATGTAAATATGGCATCACATGTATACTAATGATGTCATGTAAATGCTTGTGATGTCATAAAAACTATTAGATGTGATGGGTGATACAAACACTAATGATGACACACAGTGTCAAACAAACATTCAAACAATTAATTTCAAGTTATTGTTGATTTGATAATTTATAAATTCATTCTTGTACACAAGATGATGCAATGTCTAAAATGTTGCAGAAATATAATGCCATACATGTACTTTGTGGATGTTACAAGGTTATGAGGGTAATATTAAGATTTAAGTGCAAACGCAAAAAATATATTGTTAAACAAACAAACTCATTGTTTACACAAACATGTAATGTCAAAATAGCCTTAATAATACCTCTTACATTGTGAGTAAACAATAAGTGTCATACAAGACTTCCGGTGTCATACAATGGATTCAAGTCATTTCATACTGGTAAGATGTCATGAAGGATTCAATAATTGCTGAAATAATGCACTTAATAGTAAAACTTTGTTAACCAATGGTTTGTTCCATATTTGGGCATAATACACAAAACATGTTTTGCTTACTTATTGAGCAGAAATTTAGTTTTATCTACAGTGTACATGCGTTTTGCTTGTCCCCCAGTTGTTTGAAAAATCATGACCACTCAACAAAATTTTGAATTAGTGAATTCACCAGAACGCAAATGAGTAGAAGATTTAAAAATTGTAAAAGTTGCTGGTATTAATTAACACATTTTCACTGTAATAGATCAACTGTGGTTATTATACGTTTACTCATTTAGTAAATGGCTTGCTTCATTGTGTTAAAAAATAGAGGCAGCCAATTGCCTAATAAGCTATGTCTATGATATGTTTGATGATAAGGGATGGTATCCATTTATCAACAGTTGTGGAATAACAAAATTAGTTTTGTTAGTGGGAGGGGGTAAATGATGGTTTCATCAGCGAACAGTGTTGATTTTCTTGATATTCAAGTGAAAGACAAATCAACATTTTAAAATTTCGTTAAATGAGAGGTGGGGGCAAACCATTGCAAAATTAACTTAGTTTTTTCAAGAGTATTGGTAATTGGACTCTATCCCAAAAGTTATTTTTTCTTGGGTATATTTTAGCACACAGGTGTTGTTATTATCACGTTGCAATTATGATTTTGATTATCAAACTTGGCCTGTGTTATGAAACCTAGGTTGAAAATCTAGGTTGTGGATGCAATTGTTTTTGTTAAATGATTATTACATGATTGCCATATTGGAGCATTCAAATGTCATAATGTAGATACACTTATTTTGACGCTGCTTAATTTGACAGATTTGCTCAATTTCAAATTTTGGTGGCTATTTAATTGGCAGAGAAGGGGCCCCAGAAAGTTAATTTCTGAAGTGCATTGTACAAAAATTCCAAACTGAAATTAGACAGATTTTTAATTTGGCAGATTTTCTGAAATCACCAATCCATCAAATTAAAACAGGAGCCAAATTAAGTGTATCTACAGTATATACATATGTTTAATGTCCTGTTGAAGTAACTTATGATGATGGGCTATATTTCTTTAGTATCATATTATTGTTCAATGGTATTAGTGCCATAAAATATATAGATTGGCCAATTATTTGATGAAGTTCAAATAAACTTTTTAATGAAGACAATACTGAAGCTGAAATAGATGTAGTATCGCATCCAAGATTTCTTTCATGATATTATGATCTTAAATTAGAAATTTTATGTTTCACTTTCAAGTTTGGTCGAAGTTGTGACAACTGCATATACAGAACAATTTTGTTTTGCTTCAATCTTATATGGGAGGGAACGTGTAAGATATATTTCAGTGTTATTAAATATTGAACAACCCTTGTATTTCAATGTTATTGGCCTTATTCAGTTGTATTATTGAAAATGTTTGTCAAATTGTTTTAATGTGGATGTTATAAAATACTGTTTTCATATTATTGAAGGCAATGTTATACTTAACTTCTAATTTTAAAAGGTTTTCTAAGATTTTTGATCATTTTAAAAATCACCGTGCAAAATAAAAAATCCAATTATGATATGAATTTTACATGCAATTCTAAATTTTTCAATTAAAATAAATGAGGAATTATTTGATAGTGATCAAAAATCTTTCTTAAAAGTATTGCAATACTGCCATCAGACATGGACAGCCTTGTAGACTGGCTGGTGATTTGAAATAACTTGTCACTCCTGGGTTAGCCTTGCCCAAGTCGGTCTCTTTTACTTATCTTGATTTCTATAATTCAAGATCAGTAAAAAGTTGATTTCTATAATTCAAGATCAGTAAAAAGTAAAAAAAATACCGACTTGGGCAAGGCTAGTCCTGGGTCAACATTGTGGGATTTGCTCGATGGTCCGACCCTAATGTTAAAAAAAGTATGGGGTTGATTTTGTAATGAAGGTATTTTCATGAACATTGTAACTGGGTTAACTGCTATATTGTAACAATAGTATATTTACTATCATCTAATGTACTGTTTTAAAATTGTTTGAAATTCTAGTATATAAAATGTACATTACTAGTTAATTTAAAAAAGTTGTAAATTTAAAAATGTCTTTAAAAGAAATGTAAAACCTAGAATTTGAATTTGAATTATAAAAAATCAAAAGTGGTAGAAAAAATGATGGCTTAAAGTGGAAAAAATGTACCACAACTGAAAAGAGCCAGAAGGCCAAAAAATAAAAATGAAAAAGCCAAGCCACTAAAAAAATGTTGAATATTGTAAGTAACACTCAGTAAATGGTGTACATAAATAAAAGGTGGTTGTACAGTTAGTTAAAAAAATAGAGTACTACCACCAAAACCATATGATCATATTATGTTTCTGAGCCTATGGAATCCCACAGCATGATATTAGAATAATTTTTTGATTAAAAGAATGGGTATCGATATGGCGAACTTTTTGAACACACGTTTCTCTTAAACCAGTCATCAAAAATTTCTGAAAATCTTACAAATTGTCAATTTAATGGCCATCTTTTGAATGGTAACAATATAATTTGAAATAGATATACATACTTTCATCTATATTGTTTTAAACAACACATCAAACACTTGTTTTGTTCTTGGTATCATGTTTCCAGAGTGAAATGAAACATCTTTCCAAACCTCATTGGAACAAAACGACATAAACTCAACATGTTTAGGTCTCTCAATATTGTAATTGTCCAAAGGAAATTTTGGTTGATTTTAAAAAAGTATCTTGTTAATGAAATAAAAGGTTTTTCTTGATTTTTATCTATTTTGGGGGATTTTGTTTTAATTTTTTGAATACTTTTTTAAAATCAACCAAAAATTCCTTTGTATAACTTTAATATTGAGAGGTCTAAAAACATGTTGTATATACTATTTTGTTCCAACAAGGTTCAGAAAGACATTTTATTTCATTCTCAAGAATTGGTAGAAAGGAACAAAAAACAATTGCACTAAAAAAACAAAAAATGTTAACAAAAACAGTTATATAAAATATTTCTAAATAATTTTCGCATTAAATTGTTGTCAATCAGTCAACATTACATAAAATACCATGTTTTTTACAGAATGTTTTCAATGATTTGTTTAAGAGAAAAACATTGTTGAATTCAGTTTTCCATATCGATACCTATCCTTTAGTAATTTGTTTATTTTTGTCGTTAGGGCATGGTCTACATTGCCTAACGACCTCGGGGTATATAGATGTAACCTACATACGATCATAAAAAGCCAATTGAGCAATGGAAACCACCTAATACGTTCTACTTAAGCCATAATATTGTATTTTTAATTTGCGGTTACGCAAAAAATTGATTGACGGTTACGCGAACCTCGTTCAAATATGTATCCCAGATTCATTGTTATTAATTTTGTCATATTCATCAGCACTTGATTCTAATTCTTCTTTTGCCTCTTCATTGCTATCTTTTTTACTTGGATTGGTTTCATAAATAAAGCAAGACACAATTTTTTCGATCCTTGCCCTATAGAGGCTCAAATAAGAGTGTCTCTTGCGAGTCCTGAAAACAAATATAAGCAATTCAATATTCCATTTCTTACCCATTATAACAACAACATGGAAAGAGACTATCAGAACTAGCAACCTTAACTTGAAAGATGTACATGTACGTAACCGTCCGCTAAATATCTAATGTACATCTAATACAATACGTAACCGTCTAAAGATTTCATACGTAGTCGTCTTGCGTTTGAAACCTTATTATTTACAATATGACCACGTTCCTGTTCTGGATTTGTCATTTTATGGCTTGCTTATACACAGTTTACTTACTGTTAAAGTCCCCGTCTAAAGTTTGAAAATATTTTTTTATCATTCATTTACTATTTGTCAGGACTTAAAAAGTGATTTTAGAGATTTTTGAACATAAAATATTTTTTGAAAAAAAAGTTGTGAGCATTTCATTTCTCAAATATTCAAATTTCCCGCCATATTTCAAAAAGGTTGAAATTTCTTAATCATCAAATATTTCTTAATGCATTTCAAAAAAGATTATATTTTTAACACCAATGCAAAGATTGAACAAAAGACACACTATTTCAATAATAAAATGTCATATTTAATGGGCCACTTTAATGTTTTAGCTTATCAAAAATATTTTGGAACATTAGTGATGTCACTAAGGTAACAAAAACTTTTTGAAAAAAATTGAATTTTTTTTTCGATGTCAATCTTTTCTAAATATGCTAGACTTTCATAAAAAACAATGCTGATTGTCTAACCAGGTTAAAAGGAAGAATAAATTATGTTTTAGATATCGTTCTATGAGAACTAAAATTTTGAAATGCATTTTTCTCAGAACCATTTTCATGCACTGATAAGTTCATTTCTCGCTTGTTTATCAACCGATTTTCTTAATTTTTTCGACAAAAAACATGGGAGGATGTATGCTATGCATTGGTATGAATTGTGGCTAATTAGAAGATATGAGTGACCTCTAAAAGTTGGTTTTAAATAAATTCACAAATTTTGGAACAAAAAGTCTATCAAAAACCACTTTTTGAAATTAAAAAAAAAAGTTTCACATATCACACTTTAATAACATTGGGTAAGACTACAATATAAGCCAAAGGGGTTTAAACTTTACATGGGGCCTTTAATAGTTTGAGTGGCCCTGAGGCACATATACTGAGAAATCACGAGAATGGACTAAAAAATATGAACTTGGACATCTCAGTCGGTAAGTTTACAGCTTATATTCCACTTATTGTAAACCACCTGGCAGATTTGACCCAGTCTTTATAGCCATCCATATATACGTCACCGAATGGAACTAGTTGAAAAGGAAATCTTATCTCTGAATCTTGCCTACAGGCGAGAAAGAGGACATGCTGTCTTTCAAAGCCGCCATTTTTGTTATCGTTACCGCAAAATTTTGCAAATCGCCTTGTCGTAACCGTCATGCTATAACACCGTGGTAATGGTTATTTAGTAATACAATGGCAGTATTTAAGTTTGTTAGATCAAGTATTAGATGATATTGTATAATCATTATTGTGTATAGTTTTTACATTATACACTCAAGAAAAAATTGTGTTTATCAGTTTTTTCAAATTCAACTAGTAAAGGATCTGAACCAAACATAAATGAAGGAAAACCTCTTACAAAATGTTTAATGAAGACTGGGTATTGAAAAATATGAGATGGGACACAAAAATAGGGGGAGGAGCGCGGATAAATAACAAATAATGCACCCAATGTATAGTGCAATGTACATGTACAGTGAACCTAAATTACATTAAAAAATCTCAGCGATGTCAAAAAATTCAATGACATCAAAGAAATAAAACATTTGCCCTCAGTAGTGGTGCGTTCTTTGGGGGTGGAAGTATACACTTGTAACTTCTCAATAACTGGCACCATGGGACATGAGATGGCAATGTTAACATCAACATTCTTATAGTAGACAT